GTAATAGGAACCTCTTTTTTTCCAGAGCATGAGGCTAAGAAGGGGAAGATAAAGAGGAGAGGGAAGAGACAAGTGAGCTTCTTCATGGCCTTGATGGAATGTTATAAGCCCTAATGCTCTGTATGGGTTTGATGGGCTATTTATAATAAGGCAAAGTGCAACAAATTCAAACCCCTTTTAAGAAAGTTAAATAAAGAAAAGAAAGAACACAAAAATATAGGAAAAAAAGACTATCTCTTAACTAATCGTGGTGATCTATTGGTTGAAGATTCGTTGTATTGGTCGAAGTCAAATGATGATGACTCGATTAGTCTTACCCTCTAAACAAACACGCCTTATAACGATTTAGATAACCTTATATAACATGCCCAAACCTTATTGCAATTACTTATATTATAACATACTTTATAAAAAAAACTTAAACCTTAAAAAATAATTTTATATTTTAAAATACAACTTTGTAGAGCATGAAAAAGCGATATAAAAAAACATTTGATCGTAAATAGTAGTACTAAAAGATTTGTTTTTTTTTTAAAATATTTACCCGGTATATATATTAAAACAAAATAGACATGGAAAAGTTTATAATAATTTAACAATTTATCTTTTCACTCCTAAGAGAATTTTACAGTTAAACATCTTTGAACTGAATAAAATTTAAGAATGAATAAACTATTCATAGACTATATTTTATACTTTGTGAATGAAAGATAAGATACAAGAAAATATCTCGATGTGATTAACAAGGCTAGCTGATACCTCTTTAAAATTCTTGACCATGAGGCAAGAGGTTTCCGTAGACAAGAGCATATGTGTGAACGCACAAACGATAATGGTCAGGACATACTAATGTTGATTAATTTGCTTACATTATAGAAAGTAACTAACTTGGTTCACAACTAAGACATGGCAAAGATGTTTGTAATATCTCAATTTCTAAGGAATTACTAACGTATCTTAAAACAGATTACATATTGAAAAGTATATTTTTAGTATGGTGATAAACTTATAAAAGGTGTGGTGATATGTAGATATAATAAACTCATTTATCTTAACATATTTTTACCTCCATGTATCTGGAAGATTGAGGTATATATTAAAGTTTATATAAGTTAAACAAAAATTTGAAATACACTTGGTCGAATAAACTAAAATAAAATACATTATACAAAACAAGATAAAACAAAAGATTATATCATAAAACAAGATAATCTAATACAAAAATATAAAATAATATAACACATGATAATACATCATACAAAATATAAACTAAAATATATATTACATCACTTGATTAATAGAATATTATGTCCCAAAAAAAATACGATTGTATGAGACAAAGGAAAGATAATAGCGACTATAATAGTGTTTGCAAAACTCATTTTGATCGCATAAATTGAAATAATAAAAAAAAGCATAACAAAAAATAGCAACAAAAAGTAATTGAGGGTGTCGACTTATACAATTGGCTGCGAAAAAAGAATCTTGAAACTTGATTGGTAGATTCAGTTTTCATCATATGGGCTTTCTGTTTTCTTGGGAAAATCTCTTCTGCCTTTGTTTTTGGTTTGGTTTGCTATGCATGACAACTCTCTCATAACAGAATTCTGAGTTTCTTCTTTATATATTATCTTGTTGCATTTTGGGTGGTGAGAATTGGATAGAACAAGAATTAGAGTTAGACGACAGCTATGCTAATCCTCAAGCAGAGAATATTTCAGATTTTGCTTTTCACCTTTCAATCTTGTGAATGCCTTATAATGACTTGTCCACCATGTATTTTTACTTGCATGCATGTATGGATTTTATTGGATAATAATAACACATTACCCATACTATAATAAACCACTAAATTATAACATGTATTTTAACTACTTTTAAAATCGTAAAAACATCAAAATATCATAAATATAACAAATGGTAAATTTTTTTTGCTAAAATCATGTCTTAAAAATAGAAAAACATGATCAAATGGTATACCATTCAAGCACCACCTAGCTATATCTTTTCGTGATATATGATTGAAGTTTTGGTGCTACTATAGTTGATTAATCTTCTTAAATTTGTAAATTTGTGGAAAAAAAGATATTCTGCAAATCAGTTTTATTGAACTTCTAAAAACATATGGGTAAAGAGTTTTTTGGTTTTTAATATTTGTTTGCACGTTATTCTTGGAGTACAAGAGATTTCATTCGACCATACTCATTTGTCCTCATCTTATGATATTTTATCTCTCAAATTATGTTATTTTATCTTTCAAATTATGTTATTTTATCTCTTTTCCATCTTCGTTTTCTTCTTAGTCCAAGAAATCACCGTTGTTTGTTTTTTTTTTTTTTTTTAGTTGAGCTTAGCTAGCAACCCTTCAATACATTGAAAGAACATCATTTTCTTAGCTCTTGAACAAATTATAAGATTTTTGCCATTACAGTATATGGACTGCTATATCTTTACATTTTGTGTTGGTGTGTAACAGTATAACTTGGTATATATACATATATATCCAACTATGTTAGATTTTATAGTAAATAGTAGCTTAGTGGTAAATATATTAATTCAAGTCAAACCTATAAATTTGGGTAGAAATCAATTTTATATTTTATAATTTTTACTTTTAAGTTAAAATGAATTTTGCGAATAAAACGAACTAAACAATTAGTGGATTATATTAGATTATTCTATTTTTAGGATGGATAACAAACTGCTACGAACTAAATTGGTTTCTATGTAAATGTGATTTGTAGTTGATCTACAGTAGAATTATATTCTCTTTTTTTTTTTTTTTTTTTTGAAAATAATGTTAAATTATATTTAAAAGAAAATGAGTTTCGTTTTTACAACAAGTGCAACAATAATCGAAAAGAAAAGCTGAATGCTGAGAAATCAGAGAAGAAAATAGAAAAAAGAGACTAGAGAAGAATTATATTCTCTTAATTACACACCAATATACATTAATAATTGATAAATAAAAATAAGAATGGTCCAATCTGCAAATAGATTCATCAGCTCAACCTTTTTAGCCATTCCAACATTTACTAAAAGATTTTTTCACATGTGTGGCTTTGTAAGCCATGTATGAATATGATTCCACTGCAATAAGTTGTCAAAATAAGAGTCGGCAATCTTTTATATATTCATTTCACTTTTGCAAGATTTTACCACATATATGTATCTGTTGAGATATGGCTGTGAAGCCCTCTTTTATACTAAGAAGCTTTGAAAACACAAACTGGTTTTAACTTTTAACCTCTAATATTTCTTTTCTCATTTTATATTTCTTGTTTATATATAATTCAAAATATATAATTTGTTGCCCTCTATCTAATTCCATAGTCAAGTACTATAAATTCCATTGTTAATGAAACTAAGTGGAGTCTTTTCTTTATGTGACCTTGAATGTTTGAACACGATACTAACACCAAGTTATAACGAATAAAACAAAATGAGAGGAAGAGAGACTTTATATATGAAATTGATTGCAATCTTAGTGATGTAAAAATGAAATATTCGTTTGACCAATAAAATTGACATATTTTGTGTTTATATAGATGTCAGTATTGTACTAGGACTTGCCGAAACCTAAGCTATACGCCAAGGTCCCAAACCAAAGCCTACACCCCCATGCTCGAGCATGTCACTCCTTATTACATGGAACTAAGTAGTTTATAAACAGAGATATAATTATATATGTTTCAATAATATCTTCTTTCACTAAACTAAGTTTTTGAAGAGTAATTATTTTCGGTACAAAATGATTACAAAGAGATGATGATCTTGCACAATAAGAAAAGATATGTGGTCTGCGTTGGATGGAGAATGGTTTGCCAAAATAATTAGCAAGAGAGATAACCTTTATATCTTAAAAGCATGCATTGAAGTTTCATCTATTTCAGAAACTATAATAATGCGATATGTAAATAATAGACTTCCCTTTCCATTCAAGACTTAGGCAATGTCACGTTTGAAGAGGTTAGCTAAAGATTTTGTGGATGCCCTTATGATAAGAACAGCCACTTTGTATGGCTGATCTAGTTTTGCAACTAAATACTATTCTCTTTGAAATACATCAACGTTAACTTTTTCATTTGTAAGCCAACAATGCAAAACCTGATTACCTAATTATATTGAAAAGTGCTGTTTTTTATGTTTTTAAGACACAAACATTTGAGCTATACATAGTTTTTGCATGATTTATATATCGTAAAATTTCGGTCATTTAGATACATTTTCTGTAACAATATTTTCTTAGTTTGATCAAAATATTCATTCAACTTCAATATTTGCAACAATAAAACAAAAATATAGAATTCAACACTTGTGTAAAGTTAGGAACAATGTGAAAACGAGGCTTAAATTGGATTGGATAGAGTAAACGATAATGTTTGGTTTGGGCCAGCCAAGTTGTTAATAGTGGAAGATATAGGTCTGGCCCAAGTTTAGGTTATGACTTCCTAAAAGGTTGCAAATCTTTTAGATTGGTCCAATTTCTTGATATTACCCATGAATAGGTATAATTACCTCACAAAAAGAATATAATGTTGACTTTGATACAACTATAGTAAGTATTTAATATATAGGCTTCTATCGAGTTATAAAACAAAATCGTAAACTAAAATAAAACTGTATACAAAAACTATATAATAAACTAGGATACCGCTTCTAATAACGCTTTTAACGACGGTCAAAACAATATATTTATATCAAAGTATGGATTACCAATCAAAACCATACTCTTACCCTTACATACATTTTTAGACATTAGTTTATAAACACAATTACAATTTGTGAGTTGACAAAAAAAAAGAAAACAATTTGTAGGTGAAACCATATTGACTATCCATATATTTCATTTCTCCTTTACATGAAACAAAGAAGAAACAGAAGACATAATTGAAAACGAACCGGATCGCAATTAAAATCTAAACCGGGGGAATCAATCTAAACCGGGAAGAGGTCCACGTCAGCAGTACGGTCACACTCACACCGCCATCGTTTTCATTTACTTAAACCTTTTTTCTCTCGACGAGACGTTGACTAAAAGTCAAACAGTCATCATCGGAATCAATGGCCGGAAAGTTATCTCCTCCGGCGAAGATTAAGCTCTTCTCCGTTCTATTCCTCATCCTCACGGTCTCATTTCCATCACCAATTTTCGTAAATGGCTTCACTTTCCCATTTTCATTCACACAATACAAAACCCTAATGTCAAGCTCACGATCCCTCCTTCTCCGCGTCGCTAACTTGCGCGCTTCACGCGGAGACGCGTCGGGTTCGACTCGGGTACGAGCCATGGCTGAAGAGATAGATCGTGGATTAGGGTTAGGGTTTTTGAGCAGAGCTTGGTCTGTTGGGTGGGATTACATGTGGAATTACGCTTGGAGAAAAGGTGGGATTGACTACGGTGAGATGTATGGTGCGATTGGTGATCTCAATGAGCTTATGGGTTTGGTTACAGAGTTTAATAGAGCTGAATCTAATGCTGATAAAGCGAGCTCTGTTGCTAGGAGCTATGGCAAAGCTCTCCGTGTTTCGAAACGATTGCTTAACCGTCTTCTCAGAATCTTTGGTAAATCGGTACGGATTCTTAAAACCCCTTAAAGGATTGATCTTTAGATTCATTACACTAGAGAAAACAACAAAATCTGCTTTGGAGTAGAGAAAAAGAGTGATACTTTGAGTCATCATTTTACGAAATGAAAGCATGAGTTGTCAATTGTGAAGTTTCTAGTTATAATTCACTACTTTTTCTGTATTTATGTGTTGAGTTGTTGAGCTTGAGAGTTGTCTCTTCTGTTAGGTCCCAAGTTCATTTTGATTATCGTAACAGAGAACAGGTTTTGAAGAATTTATAGTAAAAATATGTATTGTTTGAGTATTGTTGCTTATTGTTCGTTTCTTGTGATAATTCACTACTTGTTCTGTAAGTGAAGTTTATATGTATGTGTTTGAGGAAGTGAGCTTGAGAGTTGGCTGTTTTATTAGGTCTCAAGCTCACATTAATTCTCGTCGCATACAATAGTTTTGTAGTTGAGACTTCGTTAGTTTTGTGTTTGCTCAGTCACTAGTAAGTCGTTTATTGCTTTCCATTGATCTTTCCTAGTGGACATGTTTGCTATTGAAGTTAGTCTTTGTTTCAAGTCATTTGATAGAGTTTTCCTGTTAGTCTATAGGCTGAAAACTTATGTACATTGTTGTGTGTTCATTTTATAATTGTTAGGGTGCATTGAGGGAGTTTTGGGAGATGGTGCAAGCTGAAGTAGTCGATGGAGAGTTATTACAAGACTGTCTAGAAGTGGGCAGCAACGACGTTAAGAGTTTGCTTCAAATAGCCAAAGATATGGCTCTGCAATTCTTTTCTTCTGGAAGCCGTTCCTCAGATGAATTATAGCTACAAAGAAGAGTGCTTTCACGTACGTTTCATCTTTCAATTTTGTCCCACATCGGATGCACGTTGTACAATATTATGCATCAGCCATATCCTCTAGGAAACCTGCGAGAACTGTTTCGACCCTTACATATTTTGCTAGATAAGTTTCAGGGATATATAAACTAGAAGAAACCAATTTGTTTGTTCGTTTGAGAGGTTCATAGACTAGAAACTCAATGTTCGTTCAGAATTCCTTTAATCTAATCCCACTTTTTGTGTCATGAGATGTTGAGTGTTGACGAAATGTTTGAAAAACACAAGTCTACTGACATCTAGAGCCATTATAGGTATCCCAACATGTCCTGTGATTGCCCAATTCATAGTCGAATATTATATTGATAAAAACAGCTTAAATTCTTCTGTTCCATGGCTCTCATATGCTGGAGCTTTGCCTCTATTGTATAGTAGAGTTCATAAATACAACAACCATGTGGTTGTTGAATGGTGGACTAGATCTGAAAAGTCAGTTTTATATTTCAGAATATTTCTTTTTGTTTGAACATGTTTGCTTTTTTCGAAAACTAAACACTCTGTCATAATCATAATCCAAATTTATTGATGAATGTCATTAATATCTTTCATAGTAATCAAATTTATTGGATTTCTCTTTTTCCACTCCTTTCCTCGTCTTGTAAAAAACTCCATTTGGTGACTGCTTGAATAAGAAAGTTTGAATCTTGGTTTTGAGTAATGTTTTGGGTCCCAAAAGTAGATTTTGCTTTTAAAGAACATATGCAAAACAGAGCAAAAGAAAAATTTAATTCTTTCAACTACTCAAATTTAGTTCACCAGGTCATGTCATGATGATCATGATCACTATCATCATACATAGAACTCACTCTCTGTCTTTCATTTAATGTTCACTTCCATCCTAACACATGGCAAACCCAAAAAACATCATTCTTACACCGTTGATCCGATTCGAGCAAGCAAAATCGATTCCAACCGTTAGATTTGAGATATCTTAGAATGGGAGAAACAACAAAATGCAAGTGTGGACCTTTCATTTCATGTTTTCATGTTTGTTACACTATACCTTCATTTCAAGGACTAGTCATTTTATGGTTTTCTCACATGCATTGCACTAATATAACTAAACAAGCTGAGATGAGTGAATCGAAACTTGGGGAGTGGTATGAAAACAAATTTTGATTTATAGGTAGTAATCTTTAGCTAGCTGTGTAAACTGTTGCATAAGGTTTACAAAAGTTATAAAACGATCACATAATAATGTAAATTTTGCAATTCTACAATCTTGATTCTTTAAGTTTCCTTCTCGAGAGAGACAAGGTTTTGTAACTTTATCGAGCTTTGGTACTACTCCTAGTTTGAGAGTGAGTAAACAAAGTCAACAGTCTCGATTCCCAAAGCAAACACATTAAACTCGAACCGTCACAAATCACAATACAAATACAAGTTGTGATCCGTTCGTAGTAAAAGAAAACAAACAATGACAGAAGTAATAACTCTCCCACCATCATCTCTCGACTCGTTTAATAGTAAGATCCATCCACCACCAAAGTCTTAATATATCAATTATTTCACATATATAAACACACACATTCATTTACTATTTACATTTAACATATCTAAACATCATTGCCGCGTGAACATTTAATGCTTTCTCCAACCGTTAAAAATCACATCTTTATAAAAAAATAACATTTTCTCATTCTCTCCATATTCTTCTTGAAAGCTTATATATACAAACCCATCTTTAAGTTTCTTTCGCACTCACAAAACATCTCACTCTCTTTCTTCTCTCACTTTCACAGTTCTTGCTCTTCTTAGAGAAGAGAGAGGAGAAATGGCGAGAATGTGTTTGATGATGATGATGGTTGCTATGATGACCATGAATATGGTTTCAAGTGAACCAATTGCACCATGTTACTTCATATTTGGTGACTCTTTGGTTGATAATGGCAACAACAATCAGCTTCAGTCGTTAGCTAGAGCTAATTATTTCCCTTATGGTATTGATTTTGCTTTCGGTCCAACCGGTCGGTTTAGCAACGGCAAAACCACTGTCGATGTCATCGGTACTATTCTCATTTTGCTCTGTTTCCTCTGTTTCTTGTTAGTTTTTTCCCTCTGAAACTGATTTTGTTCTGTTTCTTTTGGGGAAAAAAATGTAGCTGAGCTTTTGGGTTTCGACGACTACATTACACCGTACGCCGCCGCAAGAGGACAAGACATTCTCCGAGGAGTTAACTATGCTTCTGCTGCTGCCGGAATCCGTGAAGAAACCGGTCGACAATTGGTAAATTTTGGACCGTACTGTTCGATCAAATGTTGCTTCGGTTCAGTTTGGTTTCTAGTTCAGATTGGTTCTTTTTTTCTATAAATAACTTCAAAATAATGAATAGTCATATTCCAATAATATTGTATTAGTTTGATATGAAACTGTATCTACTTCTATCACTTTTATATGTAGAGAGACATGTCACAAATAGTTAATTTTAGGTGTATATGTTTGGATTTGGATTTGGATTTGGTTTATAGGTCCACTCTTAGTTTCCTTACAAGATTTTTGTGTTTTTATCTTGTCCTAGAACTTATTGAATTTGACTTGTTATTGTTTCATCAGGGAGGTAGAATAGCATTTGCAGGGCAAGTAGCTAATCACGTGAACACAGTGTCACAAGTAGTGAACATACTTGGTGATCAGAACGAAGCCTCGAACTACCTCAGCAAATGTATTTACTCTATCGGATTAGGCAGTAACGATTATCTCAACAACTACTTTATGCCCACCTTTTACTCTACCGGTAACCAGTTCTCTCCTGAATCCTACGCAGACGATCTCGTTGCCCGTTACACTGAGCAACTCAGGGTTCGTACACTCTTTACTCTGTTTCTGTCTTCAACAATCCTCTGTTTAGGTTCTTCTCTGTTTTTTAGCTTCTACTATAGTTACTTATTAGTTCTTACACTGTTTGTATATGTTTCTTGATAATCTTTAAGATTTTTATGTCTGTGTTTATTGTGATGGAGCAGGTATTGTATACCAATGGAGCGAGGAAGTTTGCGTTGATAGGAGTCGGGGCAATTGGTTGCAGCCCTAACGAGCTAGCTCAGAACAGCAGAGATGGAAGAACGTGTGACGAAAGAATCAACTCAGCAAACAGAATCTTCAACAACAAACTCATATCTATGGTCGACGCTTTTAACCAGAACACACCAGATGCGAAATTCACTTACATCAACGCCTATGGCATCTTCCAAGACATTGTTGCAAACCCTGCTCGCTACGGTAACACAACTCAAAGTCTTGATCAAAGTGAATATTTTTATCTTATGAATAGTTTACTCAAAAGTTTTTGTGTTGAATTTGCAGGGTTTAGCGTGACAAATGCAGGATGTTGTGGAGTTGGGAGGAACAATGGACAAATAACTTGTCTCCCAGGTCAAGCTCCATGTCTAAACAGGAATGAGTATGTGTTTTGGGACGCGTTTCATCCCGGTGAAGCTGCGAATATTGTTATCGGAAGACGATCTTTTAGGCGAGAAGCTGCTTCTGATGCTCATCCTTATGATATTGAGCAGCTAGCAACTCTCTAAAGAGAGAGTGAAAGACTTGTTCTTTTTGCTTGTGTAAGCGTTTTGATAGTTTGGACTCAAGAAATGTCAAATTTGGTTTGTATTGTGTGTGATGCCAAAACTGTTTATGTAATGATTTTGAGAAACTGTTTATCTTTTATTCTTTTTCTTTTTCTTAACTCTGTTATAAATTTGATTCTTTCATTACAAATGTGTTAAGTCTTTTCTCCCATATCTAAAAAACAAAAGAAATTGAAACCAAAGAAGAAGTTATAACCAATTGGAAATGTTGTTGGGTGGTTGGTTGGATGGATCAAACTTTATTTTAAAATTTATTGAAATTTCAATTTTAACTGACTAAACTTTTAATAGAAAAAAGGATTGATAAAATCTAAATTTTCAATTTAGCAAAAAAAAAAACTAAAATTTCATTAAAGTTTTGATATTCTTCAAACATTGGAAAAATAAATAGTATTACATGGTAAGCTTAAAAATATGTGATGTAAATTTTGTGAATTGGTTTTGACATTTAAAACGTAAAAGAGTTAAAAGATTGAAATCTAAGATTGGTCATATCCCAAAGCTTCAAGGCATACTCTCGTTGTAGTTCCGAAACTCTTCTATGTAGTTTTATTTTTATATATATTTTTTTTGCTTTATATAAGGTTCTTGTACCGGGTTTGTTCATCCCGGAGTTCGTTGTCGCTGTAGCACCACTATCTCTAAAAATTGTAATCGGTTATTAATATATACAAAATACCAGAAATTTTATTTTAAAAAAGAATGAAAGTTAAAACTCTACAACACAAGTCTTAATTTCTTATCATCAAAGGTGAAACAGAATCAAGATTCTATTCATATTGGGCCTCTAATCTTGAAGATGTGATAAACATGAAGCCCAATATTGTGTGGTTGCTTTGTTTGCCAGCAAGGCTTGCTGATTGTCCAACACAAAGCTCTTTTATTATCTCTTTCAGATTTTTCATTGTTTTTTTTCTGGATAGAGAAGATAATGAGCTCCTTGGGGTTTTCAGTTGGAACTTGTTCTCCTCCAAGTGAGCAAAGAAGATGCAGAGCTCTTGTGAATAGTAGCTTAAACAGAGCAGAAGCTATCAACTTGAGAAACAAACAAAAAGTTTCTCCTGATCCTGAGTTAAGTCTTGTCCAGCTAGCTTCATGCGGTAGAAGAGAAGCAATCATTGGTTTTGGTTTTTGCCTTGGCGTTGTTGACAATGTTTCTTCAGCCTTAGCCGCCGAGACAACTTCCTGCGAATTCTCTGTTTCTCCTTCTGGTCTTGCTTTTTGTGATAAAGTTGTTGGTTATGGTCCTGAAGCTGTTAAAGGGCAACTAATCAAGGTGATTGATTAAGTATCTCAAATTATATCTCCAGTTTTGTAATTTCTGTATGATGCTTGATGATTCTTGAATGTTTCTTGATTGGTTCTTGCAATTCTTGAATGTTTCTTGATCGGTTCTTGCAATTCTTGAATGTTTCTTGAAGGCACATTATGTAGGGAAGTTGGAGAATGGGAAAGTCTTTGATAGTAGCTATAATCGAGGAAAGCCTCTAACATTTCGAATAGGTGTTGGTGAGGTAATTTGGTGAATTATATTGATTTTGCTAAAAAAATCATTTTATCATCATTATATGTGAAATTCAGAAAACATATTGTGGTTAATATTAAACAGGTGATAAAAGGTTGGGATCAAGGTATCCTTGGCTCTGATGGAATTCCTCCTATGCTTACCGGTATGCTCAACTTATTCAGACTTAGCATATGTTATTGCATTACATGTAACTTTATAAATTGCATGTATGTAGATAGTGATTAACACTAGGCTTAGACAGCTAACACCAGCTGGAAAATTCCTATATATATGAAAAACATGTATTTGAAGACAAGTTCTTTATCATCATCTATAAATTTTGCGAAAAAAACATATTTCTACCGTTCTACTTTAGCATATATGATACAAGTATCATTGATCGATCCAAAACCAAAAAAAATCAAGTTGAACTCTGATAAAAAGTTATGATTTGGTTTCTTTCCTAAGGTGGGAAACGAACTTTGAGAATTCCTCCAGAGCTCGCATATGGTGATCGAGGCGCAGGTTGCAAAGGAGGTATAACCAAAAGCCAAAAGGCTAAAACCTTTCTTGATTAATATATTTGTCATCACAATATCTTAGGTTAGATTGTTGATAGTTGAAAATCTAATTAGTGAAGTTTGAACTTTGTTTTCGTGCAGGGTCATGTCTTATTCCTCCAGCTTCGGTTCTTCTCTTTGACATTGAGTACATAGGTAAAGCTTGAGAGAGTCTTTTTACTTTGTATTTCTTTCTTTTTTGAGTCATCATCTTTGTTCAGATCATCCTTATAGAAAGAAAAATAATAATGTCTACTCTTTTTCTGGCTCTTTCTAACTTTGTTTGGTTTATACTTGGATACATTTACCTATTACTAAAATATGAATATTCAATCAAACCAAGTAAAACCGAGAACCCAAATCCAAATGGAAAAAATAAGTCAAAATGTGTTGAAAACATCTTTTAAATTTGTTTTTAATGAAAAATATATAGTATAGTTTTGCTGACTTGTAAAGGATAAACTAAATTATAGACTTCTCGTTCTAATCGTTAATTTTTGTTGACATTACCAAAATAATTACATTTCTGAGTTGACTAACGGAATTAATTCTTTACTAAAGTAACTGTAAATCACAAAAACTAAGCTGTCTTGGTTAGAAAACATATCTGTACCCTGAATTCTGAAATTTATAATATTTACCAGTCCTTCCTTGTTTGGTTGTGTCTTAATCTCATAGTTTTAGACTCCTTTTGTGTATCTCGGATTAATAATTAATTATGTAACGTAATTAGACAAAACTTTGCCTAAGTCCCTCTAAGCATGTAAGCAAGGCACTCATATAGTCACATACCATATGACTCATATTTCAGATTAGTATGAACTCGATATTAACACTGATCTGTGTGACAGATACCACATATTTTTCTTATTTTTGCTAATTCTAAGATTATGCTAAAATAATCAGATCCTTTATAATATATAATACAATAATTATTATGTGTTTTGTACGCATATATGTCAAAATTTGCCTTAATAATGCATATGTTTTTTTCATTAAATTCCCATTTTAGTTAAGTTTTATACTTATGATCATACTGAAACATATATAAAACACTGTATATATAATAACTTTGTCTTTTTTACATACAACCATATTATTATTATTATTATTGTTCGTTACACTTTACACACCAAACTATATTACGGGAACGGGGCTAGTTTCTTCATCTCAGTTTCGACTATATCGACCGCTAACCCTTTTCCGTGATGAACCCAATAATCAGCCATCGGATTTTTCCTATCCGGTCCGGTGATCCCAACTCGAGACGCCTTCAAAGATTCAGTCGAGATTCCATACTCATCGTCACGTTTCTTCAATAGCCCTGGCTTGATCTTCCCCATATTCACGTCTTGTGGTGACATCATTAGTGATGGTGCACCTAGTGGCAATTTATCCCCTGAAATAACCAAATTAGACACTCATAAATCTTTAAAATTATATGTTTGATATTATCAGTCTATTCAAAACCAAAATGAACTGTCTTAACTACTAAGTTTATTTCTCTATTTTTTCTAATTATTTGGGTAAAAGTGTCCAACTAGGGTTTATATGATCATATCGCTTATCTCGATAGGTCTTGATCGATGTATACTTGTTCCAAGAAAATATATATTGATTACCGCGATCGGTCTGCCAAGTGCACCAAAACTTCCCATACGTTTTGGCAATATTTTGAAGCTCCGGCTTAGCTACAAGCTCAGGGACCCTCGGAGTTACTAGCAGACCAGTTTGGATCTACAATGACAACAATTCTAGTCAGATATATAAGATTGCTCTAGACATAAACTAACGTTCACATACGTATATGTAATAAAACTATTGAGTACAATATAGAAGTTATTAACCTCATAGTCATGAGAGTGCCAAAGCTTTTGCTCCTCCAGTGAAAATGTCTCAAATAACCTCTCCGACACAATATACTCGATCCCTGAGATTTTTTAGTTCCAAATTAATCAAAAAACATGCATAATAATGAAGTCATGTGCCTTCAAAAATTAGACACATGCATGTAGAACTATTAGTCAAAGATAAGCATGCACAAGAAGCTAATGTACAAACCGATGAGATGGGTGTTGGAAGAGTTGCTATCGTAAACAGCACACTGAAGGAAGTCTTGGTTTAGACGATGAACATAGAAATTGACTTCAATCTGACGGCTAGGTTCATGACCGTAACAAGCGAAAGAACACAAATGGAGACTCATCTGTTTGATAGGCTTCAAAGATTGCATCATCGCCGCTCCTTTATCCAACATCACCGACTTCATCGTATTCGGATCTCCCGGTGGCAAGTTCTCTGCTCCGTTACGTGCTGGATACGCTCCCGGACGCTCATCGCTCGACGCCATTTTGTTGTATATATATATTCAACACACAAAAACTCTAACCACGTAGTCTTGATTTTGCTCTAGTATACAAAATTTCAACTATCTTTCTTCTTTGGTTTTTTTATAGTGGTTGAATGTGAATATGTGTTTCGTGTCAATGTTGCATGAGGAAGTCGTCTCGGGGATGATCTGAGAGGGACACCTCATTGAGTTTTCTTGTGGTAACGTGGCACGAAAGGTTGAGATTTGTACATGACACGTGGATATGTTAATGATGTGGATTAATCTCTGAACACTTGGGCACTATGGATCTACAATAATTCGAATTATGATTTAAAGTGAGATGCTTAAATTGGACTCAACATCTTTTTGGTCTTTTCTATAGTATATCCAATATTTAGAATTGGCGAGTTCATAAATTATGGTATATATAAGTTATGTGAAGTCAAATATATCAATTTGAAAAAATAATTATATAGATTCCAAAATATCAAAATTTATAAGTTATGAAAAGCTAAAAACCTTCTTTGACATAAAATTAGTTTTCTTCCATTTACAATTATCACATAATTTTTGATTTTATTTTTTAATCTACAATTCACATATAAGTTGAGACTGTGAAAACTTTTATGATTCGCAAATAATAAAATTCTCATAATAAGAGAAAAAAAATTATAGAAATTATATATATGTCAATTCTGTGCTAATCTATATCTATAACGAGTTTTTTATTTGCTTAATTTGGGACATGAATTAATCTGGAGAGATTAATATAGAATTCCCAACGGTAATAATACAACGTAAACTCCGTGTTGTGTTGTGTTGGTCCAAAATTAAAAAAAAAAAAACACTGCATCCGAATCTAGCTTTTGCTTCGGATACCCGAACCTAAAATAAACCAACATGACCGTTACACCGAACCTAATTTAAATACCTTCACACTCTCTCCCCTCAAAATCTCATCACAATCTCTCATCTCTCTGTTTCATTCTTCTTCGATGGCGACGAAACTCATAATCAAGAAAGCGACGAAATCAATCAACCGTCACCAACGCAACTACCTCCGCCGTCACCGGAAAACTCAGATCGGATGTTCTCCTACGCCGGTGGCAACAACCGTCATCGCAACCATCAACAAATCAATCTACAGATGTCACCGTACCTTCCTCTGTTTATTCTCTTCTCGCCATGGAACCAAAGGATTCAAAATCCTCAAACCTCGCGACGATGTTAAAACCTCTCCGTTACCACCGTACTCTATGTTTCACGAGAGATCCGGCAAAAACTTCGACGAGACGAAGAAGACGATCGTCTTAGATCTAGACGAGACGCTCGTCCACTCGTCAATGGAGAAACCAGATGCACCGTACGATTTCGTCGTGAATCCGAGAATCGACGGTCAGATGTTAAAGTTTTACGTGATCAAACGGCCAGGAGTAGACGAGTTCTTGAAGAAGATCGGAGAAAAGTACCAGATCGTCGTGTTCACGGCGGGGCTGAGAGAGTACGCGTCGCTCGTCCTCGATAAACTCGACCCCGAGCGGCGCGTGATCTCGCGTAGCTTTTACAGAGACGCGTGCAGCGAAATCGATGGGAGGTTAGTGAAAGATTTAGGGATTGTGATGAGAGATATGAGGCGCGTGGTGATCGTTGACGATAACCCGAACTCGTACGCGCTTCAGCCCGAGAACGCTTTCCCGATAAAACCGTTTTTGGATGATTTGGAAGATGTTGAGTTGAAGAAGCTCGGTGAGTTTTTGGGTGGTGATTGTGTCAAGTCTGAAGATATGAGAGTTGCGTTGAAGGAGTTTGTTGGAAGTGATGAATGAATGATTCTTTTTTGGTAGCTTGTAATTTGTGTATTAAGAGAGGATTTGATTTACAAGACAAATGAACAATTAGCTTTGTTTGTTCGTATTAGTCTTTGTGTGTACACATCCTCATGAAAAGCCCAATTTGTTGATTTGTTTGATTAGTGTTATAATGTATGTGGTTTGCATTAAACAGTTTTAATGATGATTATTTTCATTTGATTTTATATATGGATAAGAATTAAATATGGGCCTTTACGGGGTTATTGTTAATATTTTTTTTTGTTCAAAGGTGTGATATACACTAACCAATAAAAATATTAAATGTAGATTTTTTTAATATTTTTTTTGTAAATATCATTAATTTTTATGTAATATATATATATATATAATGTTTTATTTATTTTTTAAATTTTTATTGGTGGAACCGTGGAAGGACTTTTTTTTTTATTTCTTCTTGTAGTTTAGGATGAATTCTTAAAGATTTTGAAGATATGGATTTTATAAAAAACAATTAACATAAATTGAAAGCTAATTAATTAATTTTTAATGTGTGTCAAGTGTCACACTATTATTATGAGAATATTTAAGATATATCCAATTTTTTAAAAAATAATAATCTTATATAAGTAAAGGTTCATGAGCCTCTTCTCTACAATTTACAAACTTAAAAAAAAAAAAATTGTTTTTTTGTAGTTTTTAATTTTTTTTTGAAGAAAATGGTTTTACTCTTTGTAAGAAGCTTATGAAACAAAACATAAATATATTTATCCATACTCAACAAAGTTATGTTTTGTTTATATGATTAATTTTATTAAGGACTTGACTAAATTGCATTGTTTGCTACAGAAGGAGACTCTTCGATTTGAGGTTTCTGTAACTATTAGCCAAGATACTAGTCATGAGGTAGTAGGCCGTATCGCTCGTTGTAAAGGTACACACACCAAGTCACCAATACAACCGTATGATTATAATGAGCTAAATCGAATCATTCACACTATACAAGTTTTAAACCAATGTGTACAAATGTTTTTTTTTCTTCTTTATTATCGTTTTTAGGAGTTGCTTTTGTTGATTTTGATGAAGACGACTACGTATTTATTGTGAAAGGAGAAAATCTGGACGAGCAAAAGATTAAGAAAACAATAGATAAAATATTGAAACCTAGACGAGGACTTATCTCTTGTTTTGGTTGTTAGTACCTTTTGGAGAAGTTGTGTTTTATGTATTCTAAAGCAGTTTAGGCGGTTATCTAAGCTCTAATTAGTGGTTAGACGCTCATTTTAGTATATTTTTCCAATCTTTAACTAAGTTTTCTATTCATTATATATAATTAAAAACATTTATATCCGATTTGATGTAAATTAAATAAAGTTTTACCTAACTTTTGTTTAAGAATTAATATTAATATTTTTTAAAAAATATTATTATATAATATTTATGTATGATATCATATTAAATATTATATATTATAGTTACATAAACCACCTAAAATCGACGAAGTTCCGATTACGCATTCAACACATTAAACATTAGACCAGTTTCTACATAGTGTCAAAGGCTTTCTTGAACACTAGTTATTAGTCAATCCTATCAAAATTTCCAAAAAAAAAAATAATATTCAAAAAAAATACAAGTATACCTATTATAAACTGCAACACCATATTAACTAATTTCTTTTAAATTTGTTCAAACACTCATCATAATTCATAAATAAAAAAGACACAAAACATTATTTAAATTACAGCCCGAGAACGCCTTCCTGATAAAACATTTTTGGATGACTGGGAAGATGTTAAGTTGAAAAAAAATAAAAATGAAGAAGATGTTGAGTTGAAGAAGCTTGGTGAGTTTTTGAATGATGATTGTGTCAAGTCTGAAGATATGAGAGTTGCGTTGAAGGAGTTTGTTGGAAGAGATGAATGGATGATTTTTAATTTTGATTTAGTTTTGTAATATTAAGAGAGGATTTGATTTAGAAGACGATGAACAATTAGCTTTGTTTGTTCAATTAGTATTTGTGTACCCCAATTTGTTGATTTGTTTGATTAGTGTTATATGTGGTCTGCATTAAAAGAATTTAATGATGATTTTTGCATTTGATTTGATATATGGATAAGAATTAAATATGGGCCTTTAGTGGGCTTATTGTTAATCTTTTTGTTTAATGGTGTGCTTTACTTTACATGTCAATAAAAAAATAAAACAAATATATATTTATATATATTTAATATTAAATTAAAATTTTATTTATATGTTAATTTTTTATTGGTGGAAATTTTTATTTATTTATTTTTACCATTTAGGATTAATTCTTAGAGATTTTTAAGATATAGATTTTAATAATAATATTAACATATATTAAAAGATAAATTAAATAATTTTTATTGAGCTATTATTATGATTATATCTAAGACATATCCAGATTTTTCCTTATAATAATCTTATATAAATATAGGTTGATGAGCCTCTTCTCTACAACTTACAAGCTTTACAAAAATTTGATTTGTTTTTCATAGTTTTTAAATTTTTTTTGAAGAAAATGGTTTTAATTTATGTAAGAACCTTATGCAACAAAACATAAATATATTTATCCATACTCAACAAAGCTATGTTTTGCTTATATGACAAAGTTTATTAAGGACTTGACTAAATTGCATTGTTCGCTGCAGAAAGAGGAACTTCAGTTTAATGTTGGAACTATTGGCGAAGATACTAAGCAGGAGGCACTACGACGTATCGGTAATTGTAAAGGTAACAACCAATAGACACCAACGCAGCCTTATGATTATAATGAGACTAAAATCAAATCATTCATATACTCTACAAGTTTCAGACCAATGTGTTACAAATGCTTTTTCCATTTTCTAGGAGTTGCTTTTATTGATTTTGATGACGCCGCCGCCGTACTAATTGTGAAAGGAGAAAACCTCAGTGAGCAAAAGATCAAGAAAAAGTTAAATAAGATTTTGAAAGGTGGAAGAGGGTTTTCTTGTTTTGGTTTTTAAATAATATTTGGAGATTATGTTTTATGCGGTTTTGTCGATCGTCTAAGCTCTGATTAGGTGCTAGACATTCAGATTGACGTCTAAACAATGGGTTTAACCACATAATTACATAAACTTGCATATAATTTATTTTAGTGTATATTTCCAATCTTGAACTAAGTTTTATATTCATTAAATATAAATAAAAACATTCATATCTGATTCGGTGTAAATTAAATAATGGTTTACCTAAATTTTGTTTAGTATTTAATATTATATATTATTAAAAATATTTTTATATAACTTTTATGTATGATATCATATCTTAAATATTATATAATATAATTACTTAAACTACGTAAAATCGCTGAAATTCCTGTTAAGAGTTTGAGATATTAAACACCATATCACTCTTTACATAGCGTTAAACGCTTTCTTACACACTAGTTATTAGTCAATTTTATCAAATTTTTCAACAAAAGAGTATTCAAAAGAAGTCACAATTATACCTATTATAAAACTGAAACATCATATTAACAGATAATATGTTTAAACAATCATCATAATTCATAAGTCAAAAAGACAAAACAACATAATTTATTATTTTTTTGTCGGACAAACTACATTAACTTCCCCAAATGTTGTAAAATTATGTTTTCAGATACTGTATTTATTTATTTTTTTGTCAAAATTTTTATGTTTTTCATAATATCATTATTTTAGTAATTAATAGGAAAAAATAAAATAAAATAAAGAAAAGAAGAGTTGATAATAGTAAACCACCAAACCCGTCTTTTTGACACAACTAGTTGTTGTTGTTGTTGTTGCCATTCTCATACGCGCTTCATCAACCTTTGGAAGAAGCCAAATCAAACCTTACAATCCTCAAAATCTCGATTTTTTTTTCTTTCTTTCTCTTTTGCTTTACGTTCTCTCAATCCATGTTTCTCTGAAAGGTTGTTCCTTTAATTAATCAAACTAAGAGATGAGGCTTTGAAGATTGTTTTTAGCATCAATCGCGATCGAGTCAAACAAATCTTTCTCCAGTCTTCATCTGGTACGCTTTGACCAATTTCCCAAATCAGAACACATGAGATGAATAGAAATGTTCGAATTGTTGATTGATCCTCCTGTCTGATTGGTTAAAGAAGCAATTCTCTGTAGATTTGGATTCGAATAGATTTGGGGATAAGTGAAGGTTTTGGCTTAAGGGTTCTTTTTAGATTCCTTTAAAGATTTGGTTTGGTAGTTAATTTGCTACAAAGGTGGAAACTTTTTTAGTTTCTCCCCCACACAATCAATTTCGAAGCTTTGTGAGGGAAAGAAAGTCTTGGTTTTTATTGCCCTTTACTCTGGAATTGTAAAAATTCATGCTTTGAATGATTTGATCCCCAATTCTGATCAATGAGTTTGATTTGAAGCTTTTGTTCTATCCAGCAGACAATAAGGTCTGAATCAAGGAAACTGGAATTTGCGGTTTTGGTTTCAACTTCTTGGGATGGATGAAAATAATGGAGGTTCAAGTTCACTTCCACCTTTTCTTACTAAAACATATGAAATGGTAGATGACTCGTCTTCTGATTCGGTTGTTTCTTGGAGTGATAACAACAAAAGCTTCATTGTCAAGAACCCAGCGGAGTTTTCAAGAGACCTTCTTCCGAGATTCTTCAAACACAAGAATTTCTCGAGTTTCATCCGTCAGCTTAATACATATGTAAAGTTCTCAGCTTTTTTTAGCTCATCACTTTGGGGTTAGGTTCTTGCTGCATCACTTTAATTAACCTTTTTGTGTTTTTTTTGTTTGTTTTCGAAGGGTTTTAGAAAAGTTGACCCTGAGAAATGGGAATTCTTGAATGAGGATTTTGTTAGAGGTCGACCTTACCTTATGAAGAACATTCATAGACGAAAACCGGTTCATAGCCACTCGTTATCGAATATACAAGCGCAAAATCCGTTGACGGAATCAGAAAGACGGAGCATGGAGGATCAGATCGAAAGACTGAAAAAGGAGAAAGAAGGCCTTCTAGTGGAGTTACAAAGCCAAGAGCAAGAACGTAAAGACTTTGAGATGCAAGTAACAACACTGAAAGATCGGTTACAACATATGGAGCAACATCAGAAATCAATAGTGGCATACGTTTCACAGGTTTTGGAAAAGCCAGGACTTTCTCTAAACCTCGAAAACCACGAGAGAAGAAAAAGAAGGTTACCAGAGACTCCTCTTCCTGCAAGCCGGTCACACGTAGAGCAAGTCGAAAACTTAGAATCTTCTCTAACATTTTGGGAGAATCTTGTATCGGAATCATACGAGAAGAGCGGTGTACAGTCATCAAGCATGGATCTTGATGCAGCTGAGTCAAGTCTAAGCATGGGCGATACACGACCAAAATCATCAAAGATTGATATGAACCTAGAGCCTCCTGTTACCATTACCGCAGCTGCTCCGAAAACAGGAGTTAACGATGACTTTTGGGAACAATGCTTGACAGAGAACCCTGGATCAACCGAGCAACAGGAAGTTCAGTCAGAGAGAAAAGATGTCGATAACGATAACGGTAATAAGATTGGGAACCAAAGGACGTTTTGGTGGAATTCAGGGAATGTAAATAACATTACAGAGAAAGCTTGATAATAGTGAAAAATGAGGTTGTTGTAAAATAGTGGTTTTGTTTTGCTTCCACTGAGATTAATGTATTTACTCTGTTTCTGTAAAAATCCAAATCTCTATTGTTTGAGATAAGAGTAAACATAGATGCTTACTCTGAACTGATTCTTGCATTTATATTTCAGTTATAATTTACAGAGCCTCGCGGTTTTGTTTTGTAGCATATGAATGGTCATAAAAGAGTTATAAAAGGATGTCAAAAAAAAAAAAAAAAGAGTTATAAAACAAAACAAAAAAAAATTAATAGGAAAACAAAAAGCTCCGATGCCGGGAATCGAACCCGGGTCTCCTGGGTGAAAGCCAGATATCCTAACCGCTGGACGACATCGGATTTGATGTTAAGAGTACTTGTATTATAAGTTTATACTTTTTAAAACAATCGAAATGATATTAACAAACAATGAAGAGATCAATGGACTCTTAAGTGACGAGTGACGACCACTTAATCCTTTACTTAAATTAAAATAACCTAATCATTAACCCTTAAGTTATAGATGAAACAAACAATGAAGAGATCAATGAACTCGATCTATCTGATCACCATTTTGATAAAAATGATGCAACATTTGAATAAAGATGAATAGCTACAAAGATTACATTATGATCAAAGATAACTAAGAAGAAGAAGAAGACGAAGAAGCAAAAAAGGAGAAACCTATCTAGGAGGAGATCTCGTTGATAGACATTTCCCACAAGAGACAAGCTTCAACAACGAATGTAATCTTATTTTTCTTGTTCTCATCTTCAATCTTGATAGCTACAACAATTCAAAATTTCAATTAGAAATCATAATCATACAATGAACACTAATGTTTTGAAAAAGAAAAATTGAATCTTTACCTTGCGACGAGTGTATCTCGACACTTTCCAACATATCAAGCTTCTTGATCTTGGTTCAAGTCTCCTGTAAAATCAACATATTATCAAACAAAAGATTTTAAAAAAACAAATATAAGGAACAGCTTTTGTGGTTAGCATTCTTACAAGTTCTCTTGTTCAAGCTTATTTGCAATCAAGACAGCTTTGTGTTTAGACCAACTGTTTCCTTCAGCTTGCTTGATCACTTGAGCCAAAGAAACTTTTCCTTTCACAATGCTCTGGTGGTTCTGATTCTGGTTTTGACTCGCTTCCAAGTGTTTCCTTCTAACTCGAGTCATTGGAGATTCCGGTTCAGCTACTTCGATTATTTCGCTTCTTCCGCTTTCGTGGTATCTCTCACCATTGCTTAAACCTTGAAATGGCGACAAAACGACGTTTTTCAGATCTTTCTTTGACTCGGTTCTGAACTCTAATGTGACTGGAGATCCAAGAACTGCCTCAAACGCTCTCAAAATGTGATCTTTGAAATTCTCGGCTGTTGATTTTGCTATTGGTGAGTTAAATATTAACTGCACCGTAGGAGCTGCAAAGAAAAAGAAGTTAGAATCATCTCATAAACCTTTTTACCATATGATCACTGCTCTTATATATCTTTACATTTACCTGAGCCGATACTAATCGAAAAGATCTTTCCTTCTTTATAAAGAAACTCTTTTAAACCGTTAACTCGAAGTTTCTCGATAACAGTTAACCAAATATCTTCAACCGAAGGTCGATTTATGCAACCGATATCTTGCTTACTACCATCTCTTCTTGTTCCAGCTACAGCGCTGTTTGAAGGATCCGAATCCGTCAATGGAGTATGGTTAAAGCTAGCATCAGCGGACGAACTATGCGGAAGCAAGTACTGTTTGTCAGGAGCTAGCTGGAGTAATGCAGCAGTAAGCCAGGTTAGTTTATCATTCGATACTCTCAACTGTTTTTCTGATTCAGATAAAGTTTTCAAAGCTTGTTTCAGCTTATCCATATCTTCTTTTGACACTGCAACAATGAAATCATTCGTTAATTACAGTTACAAATACTTCTTATTTTAGGATGAGGCAATGTTTGAAACTCACGTGGATGTCGCCGGAAAAACTTTCTTTTACATTGATCTTTGGTGAAATCGTAGCTTCCGGCTAGTATATCGGTTATGACAGTTGCAAGCTGTGACATCAAAGCTAATGGTTCTAGACCAGTTTCCATTATTATTCTTAGGTTCTTTACGGTGTTGACAGTATCCGCGGATAAGGCTAGATCAAGAAGATCAACCAATTTCTCATCAGAGATTAACCCAACCTGAAAAAAGAACATAATGAGAAAACATGCCAATAGAAAATGTTCTGATCCTTGCAAAAGTTTTGATCTTTACCATTTCTTGAACCAAAGGAACAGAGATTCTTGTTCCGAGCAAACTCAGCTGCTCTAGAGTCATTTCCGCATCTCTCAAAGAACCATCTGATCTCGAAGCAACAAGCTTCAGTGCGTCTTTATCGATATCAATCTCTTCTTTTGATGCAATCCGTTGCAAGGAATCGATGATATCCACGTCTTTGAGCTTTGGGAAAAAGAACTTCTGACACCTCGAAACGATAATGTGAGGCAAAACATCAAGACCCGAACATACTAGAATGAAAACCACACGACGAGGTGCTCGGTCCACGACTTTTGAAAGTGCATTCCAACAATCTGTTGACATAGTATCGCAATCATCGAATATGAATGTAAGATGCTGTCTTTGCTGCCGATGAATGATCATTTTATCGACCAAATTCTCAAAGTCGAATTTTTTAACAGGACCCATTTCCCGAATGTACCGGTTCTTACCATCATCATAAGAAACACATGAACTGCATACACCGCAAGGCTTTGATTGTTCTGCAGAATGGCAATTCAACGCTCTAGCAAAAGTCCGAGCACAAGATGTTTTTCCGGTTCCATTTGGACCGTGGAATACATAAAGAAGTCCAACTCTTCGTTTAGCAACAGCATTAGATAGAGCTTGTACCACCAGATTCTGTCCCAAAACATCCGGGAATGTTCTTGGAGCGTACTTCTGCGTAAAACTTTGATGCCACCGAGCATTTTTTCGGCTGCTCTTCTTACCAAAGTCTGAATCTTTCTCATTCTTGAGCAACTTGTCGGCGAAAACACCCAATTCGCCTGAGTAATCATGCACCCATTCTTTATTATCTGAACTGTCAACTAAAAGAGGTAAAGCCTCATGATCAGAGAAGCTTGAATCAGACAACATTAGCATATCATTTTCACCTTTCTTTCCTTTAGAATCAGACATTCCACAAGATAAACTCCTACCAGCTATATCAAGAAAAGTTTTGCCTCTATGATGAATGCTCGACCAATTAAACGGTATTCCACAACCGTTTCTCGGAACAGCTCCACTCATGTTCTGTTCTCTCTGTCTACCTCCTCCTTCCTCATACCTCTCACCTCGAGGCACCGAGTTAGAAGCAATAGACATCTCACTCTCATTACCAACAATGTCTCTAACATTAACTCCCCGTCCCGCTCTCCTCCTCCCTCTAAACTTGCGTCTTTTACTCCCATTACCGCGCGGTCTAACATTACAAGAAACCAAATCATCACTATCACCACCTCCAACCTCGTTTAACTGATCAGACAGAGTCTTGACAATAGCCTCATTGACCTTACTGACCCTATCTTTCGATCCTGATTTCACAGAAGCAACACTATAAACCTCATTAACATCTCCTACCCTATCTTTCGAAGCAACACTATAAACCTCATTAACATCTTCAACCCTATAACTCTTCCTACTCGACCTATCAAACTTTTCATCAGAAGGAGTCACTTTAGATGTCCCAAAATTCACAATCGGAGACGAACCAGACAACCTAAGACCAGATTTCTTAACCAAACTCTGATCAACAGATCTTCTTCTCCCCTCACGTGAATCCTTATGATCTTCTTTCAAATTCGGGCTCGCTGATGGGTCTCTAAGTGATCTTGATCTCTGGAGAACGACAAGATCTCGCATAAGAAGAGACCGGTCGGTTAAAACCGGACTCTGCTTGTTGTTGTTGTTGTGCATATGATTCTTCAAATGAATACAGTTGGTTAAGTGAATATGGTTACGAAGATGCTCACCGATGTCTCCATTTGCAATAGACATACTCATGAATATGATGATCACAAGTGTTCTGTTTTCTTGGAGAGAATCTTGTCCAAGTCTCTATAGAAGAACCAAATCGAGCTGTATCTCATTTTCTTCTGCGAAAATCTTAAAAACTTTCCAAATTCGAAAACGATTTCACAGACTTTGGTAATATCCCTAATTCTCTCCCCCAAGATTCACTCAACTTGCCATATCAAAAAACAATTACCAAAAATCAAAACTTTAAGAACCCGTTTGAACAAAAATGTAAACTTTTCGAGCCTACGTGCTTCTTCTGGTACACGAAACTACTAGAGAGTTAATAAGGAGTTCAAAACCAAACCCAGAATGCTAAAATCTAAAAAAGCTCTGTTTCTTTATAGAAAAGATTCAAACTTTACTATTGAGAGACCAGCAAACAAACAAACAAAAAAACGCTGAAGGGTCCGTTTCAAAGATAACACAAGTAGGGGGAATAAAAGAAGAAACGAGAACGACACCGTATTCAAAAGCAGTCACAGATGTCTCTCCTCTATTTCTTTCTTTCTTTACCAAAACATTCACATGTAGAACCTGAGTGAGAGGTTTCTCTGGAGAAAGCGATGTTTTTTGGCAGGAAAAAGCTGTTTTCGAGTGTAGAGAGAGAGAAGGGTTTCGAGTTTTTTCACTGTTGAGAGAGAGAAAGAGTGGGAATCTTGAGAGAGAGAGAGTTTTTGAGATCTGTGTACGGACACGAACACAGAGGCAATATGGAGAGAGAGAGGAAGCAGAGCACATTGCCAATAAAGCGGTTTGTCCGTTTCCCGTAAGTGTAACAAATACATAAAAATTACATTTTGATTTTCTTTATTGTTTGGTTGAGTCAATAAAGAAAGAAAGAAACACAAAACAAACAGAGAGACCAAAGAGTTTGCAGCACATTACATTTGAATCGAGCTGTTTCATTGTTTGTATTATTGGTAGTTAAGTTATGATGTGATGGGTGATGTTTTGTACCTCTGAGCCGTCGTCAACAATACACAAACAGACAAATTTGCACTTCTACCATTTTCTACCGTCCAATACGATTGCATTATAACAGTATTGAGATAGTGAGAAGAACTGTATTATTTTATGGTGAAAGTCTAAATTTAGGGGGTTTATTGGATTGGTTTCATTGATTTTGATGGATTTGGAAATCCAAACCAAAATCATGTGTTATTCAATTATTGATTTTAAAATAACTATCAAAATCATCTATTATTGGTTGTATGATTTATAAATACTAGTTAAAATCTTATGTTATTCGTTTAGTAATTTGTTTTGGATTTTAAAATACACAGTATGTTTTAAATGAATTTGAAATGATTTGATATTTGATAGTGTAAAATGATTTGACAGAGGATTCAAATCCAAGGATAAAACATGTTATTTCAAAATTCATGTATTTTGATTTCATAAATAATAAAGATTAACAAATTCTAGAAGGATTTACAAATCAATAAACCAATAACACTCCTTTAGTCTTTTATGGGAGTTAAATATTTTTCATATTAATATAGTGATAATTCAAACATCAAATTTACTTTTCTGAAAAAATTGGAAGGTGTATATTCAAATCACAACTTCTATTTTTATGCTGTATGTGGTTTGAAGTCAGATAATATGATTTACAAGCTTAAATAAGTATATACTTTTTTGTGGATAAAAGTACTGATATTGTTTTCCAATGACATGAACCAAATTTCCCGTTACTTAACAAATAAAAATGCTAAAACTATCAACTTCACAAAGATAATGAAATGAAGTTGATGTTAAACATATGATATATATAAAAAAGAAAATATAATAATAAAACTAGCAATTGTGATATAAATTACAAACGATGTGAAAATTAGTGCAAAAAAACTGAAAAGACATTCCAGTCTATAAAACTAATAATAATGAACAAGCTAAACTTCTTATCTTAGGAAAATTTTGTTAGCTAGCTTTTGTAACAAATATAATTCATGTTGATTCAGATGGACTTGAGAGATTTCAAAAAAAAAAAATTAATAAAGGGAAATTAAAAAATAGGTTGCGATGGTGGTCAATGACACATGTGAGCACATTTAATTTAGAGATGATTAACTTGTTCAACTTGTGTGGTTTGCTAATTCTACCATTGTTAATTCTGTAAACTAACATGCATCCAAGAAAAAGAAAAATACTAATTACTTTTGAGTTTCGATCATATAACTGATTAGTGTTAAACAAATCGTTTGTAAATTGTAATTGGCTAAATGTTAGTAAATGCTTAGCTCCAAAATTCAAGGAACAAAAAGACATGATAACTTGAGAGACCATTTCTGACACACATTGTTTTTCAAAGTTTTTGCTATTCTCAATAATTTTTATAGAAATATGTGGAGGGAGGGAATCATTTTAAATCAAACCTTGTGACATATTTTTGTTGTTTAAAAAAAAAAAAATACATCTCTAGTTTTTCTTGCCATGATTTATTTTGTAAATCTTATTTTTTAAAGTAATAAGCAAAATACTTAGATCATTTTGTTCACAAATCCTGACTGTACACTTGTTCCTCAACCACCACGTGTCACCATCTCCCACTTTAGATTCCCAACTATACAGAGACTGTGTCTTCTAAAAATATTGAATATGAGAGAGTTAAGACCATCTTCAATAGGGGTATCTTAGCCTTGAAGATGCCCTAAGCAATTCGTTCGGTTACACTAGATCAAATATTAAAAAGCCAAGACAAGTGCATCAGAAGGTCATCACAATTTCAATTTCATTAAGACAAGTCACAAGTGCAGTAGAAGACATGACATAATAATCAGTTGATCTTTTCTATATATTGTTTATAGAACAACATTATAGTTTTGAGTAATAGAACAATTAAGGTTCTAATTCTACAGATTAGGACTACAAGACTCGGATGTTGTAAAATTAACATCAACTTTTGCAATCACAACATTACAAAAACCTGACATAACTCAGATTTCGTTCAAAATCACTCCAAGAAACGTAATATTATGATAAGATGCTTGGTCAAGAAACGTAATATTGTGATATCTTTGGAAAACAAAAACTTAAAAAATGGTATCCTAGATCATTTCTCTATTATCAATGAACTCTAAACTGTGTCACACAAAGTCATTTTTAATTCTCTCTTTAGTTTCAGATTTTTAGTGCCTAAAGGATAATAACAGCAAAGTCAATGAATACCAAACCAAACCATTTTTATACGAATTTTTGGGCTAATCGGAGACTCGGAGTAATAATATTTTATAATCACAATGAGCTGGTTGTGTCGGTCGGTAAGGTCAATGACTAATATCGGTAACACCAATTAGGTAAAAATACTAATATGATTCATATAACAACATAAATCTCAGATACAAATTTCATCTGAGAGAGCCACTAAAATGGACCAACAAAACGAGAGAGTGAAGCAATTCTGCAACCATCCCTTAAGATACGTAAGAATGAAGCCGGACAACGACACAAGCCGGTCACGTAACTGCGATGGATGTGGTGATGATTCTGGCTACGGATATAACTGTGGACGTTGCAACATCCAAGCTCATGTGTCATGCATTGGTTGGCCAGACATCATCAACCACCCTTGTCACTCCAGACATCCTCTCAAGAAAGTCTCTCCCGAGACAATCGACTATACTGATGGTAAATGCCAGTTTTGTCGAAGCCCACTTGTTGATCTCATGTTCCATTGTTCTGTATGTAACTTCAGTGTAGATTTGAGATGTTGGTTAAAACCTGCACCGCTTACTATATATCAAGAGAAGAGCCATAACCATACGTTAACTCTCATGGCTAGAAAAGATTCATTCACTTGTAACGCTTGTGGTCTTGTTGGTGACCGTAATCCTTACGTTTGTCTTGAATGTGATTTCATGCTACACAAAGGTTGTATCAATTTGGCTCGGGTGATAAACATTAACCGTCATGACCACAAGATTTCTCATACTTATCAACTCGGTCACGGGGATTGGGAATGCGGAGTTTGTCGCAAGAGAATGGATTGGACCTTTGGAGCTTTCTCTTGCTCACGTTGTCCTAGTTATGCTGTTCATTCAAAGTGCGCCACAAGAGAAGATGTGTGGGACGGGAAAGAACTCGAAGATGATCTTGAAGATGAGGAAGAAAAAGATCCATACGAGGAAATAAATGAGAAAGAGATCATTCATTTTAGTCATGATTTACATATTTTAAGACTTGTTGATGATGGTATTGCTGCTAGTTATGAAAAGAAGCGGTGCGACGCTTGTGTAATGCCAGTAAGTTCTGATACATTCTTCAAATGTGTGGAATGCGAGTTCTTCCTCCATAAAGTATGTGCCAGTCTTCCCCGGAAGAAACGAAATATCCTGCACAACCACAAACTTGATCTCCAGTATGGTGATGAGTACTCTGGCAAGGATTTCGAGTGTACATATTGTCAAAAACATTTCGATGGTTTCAGGTACAAGTGCCTTTCTAACTACGCATGTATGCATTTGACAATTATGTTAGATATGCGGTGCAGCACCATTTCTGAGCCTTTTCAGCATGAACTGCATCCGCATCCCTTATTTCGTACCTCGAAAGAGCATAAGACATGTGGAGCATGTGGTGAAGATTCAGAGTATGTCTTGAGTTGTATTGCTTGTGACTTCGCTTTAGGCATGGAGTGTGCCACGTTACCAAGAAAAGTGAAACACAGATGTGACGATCATGTTTTATCATTGCATCATGGTGCTGGAAGCTCCAAGGGTCAATTGTGGTGTGATATCTGCGAGGGAAAGACAGATCCAAGCGTATGGTATTATAGTTGTGATGATTGTGGTGTCACTCTCCATATCGATTGTGTACTTGGAGACATGAATTACTTCATGCCAGGGAAAAGATACATGGGAGGTGAACTAGTATCCAACGATGGTATGACTAGACCTTTCTGCATAGTTTGTGAAAAGCGTTGCATGTTCCCTTTCTTTCTTAGGGGTATATCTTATTCAGATAAAACTGTTGTGTTTGCTTGTTCAAGAAAGTGTGCATACCGAGGCCACAACCGATGGGAGGAGTGGTATAGTAAAGTTAACACTTTGTAATGAGTACATCTGAAAGGTCCACAACTCTTATTCCAGGAAAGGGGAAGCTAGATGATCTATGTATGCTTCATATCTTCGAGTATCCTATTTAGGGATACTCCTATTTTTCTTTTGGACTTGGGATTCTTCTAAAACTTTGAGTTCATTTGTATTTTCGATCCTATTGAAATTTGTGTAATTTGCATCACATAGTTGTCAAAAGAAAACATTCCATTAGATCATATTTTTACACCCAAAAGAGTTCATAAAACCTGACTGTACATCTCTACATCAACTATCACGTGTCACCATCTCTGACTTTAGATTCCACCAGTAAACTAACTATACAGAACGCTTGTACTACTAGTGTATCATTTCTGTTCTCTATCAATTGGCTAGAAGTAAAGAGTATGAGAGACTTACTTCAGATTCTTCTAGTCTACTTTGCTTCTTCTTCTACTACTTCTACTAAGCTTTTCTTGTTGTGTCAATGTTCATGGAACTTACTGTCCCTCCTCTCTAATCAGATTCGTTGGCTCACTGAGAACATACCTAGGAAGCTCATATCTAGCACCTGCATTGATTAAAAGTAAGTTTGTAAGGTAACAAAACAAAACAAAATTTGAAAAAGAAAAAACTAATCAAATTAATGTGCGGCAATTGTGTGTTGGCAAACCTCTTTCATCCCAACACAATGTTAGATCACGATTCTGGACAATCACGCCTGCACTTTCAACAATAGTCTGTGCTAGTTTCAAGTCAGCTTCAGCAGCAGCTCGAAGCGCCTCCCATATCTCTGCTTACCAGTAATTTCAACTCTGTTTCCAAATGTGCATAGTGCAATGCATATTAGAAAGTGATTTATATAAATACCTCTCTGACCACCATAGTGTGGAGAAGTGTCCCAAAACTCCTCACGCATATTGACAAGTTGTGCCCTTGTGATTGGCTCAGTATGTGCCCACGGTTTAGGTTTCCGAATTTTCTTCTTTCTTACTGTGTCAACATACCAAACTCATAAGAGAATGATACAGTATAACTACCACCAATCCTAAACCAATTATTTCAGTAAATTTACATCAAAATATCAGCACAATTTCGATTTCAACAAGACAAATGCAACACAAGGCAGAACAGAAGAAACTGGTGGTTTTTGTGATAGTCATATTTCAATCACACCACTGATAACAATTTTACTCTGATCATCTTATACACATAACCATCTACCCTATAAACAGTTCTCTCAATAACAACAACACAAATGCAGAACTGAAGAATCTGATAATCTTGTGTATTGTCACAGAACTAAAGAACAACCTTTTTTGCAATTTTAATCAAACCACTGATAACAACTTTCTCTCATCGTATAACACCAATTCTAATCAACAATTAAGAGCATTCTAAACTGAAATCAGAACAGTACATGTTCAAGAACATTCCAAATTCAGAACAGTCACATTATCAAGATCATACTAATTCTGAAAACTGTGGTCTTATCAGCTTCAAACATTTGCAATATTTTTACGAATCACAACGCAATATCAGCGAAAATTCTGCGAACGGAGCGAGAATCTCAGCAGACGAAAGATACTTAAAAGAGTGAGAATCGATTTTACTTACCACCTCCTTCATTGTTGGCCTGAGAAGATCCGATACAACCCATCGTCGAACCGACGGAGACGATAAAAGTTTCAAGGTGGTTACGGCGGGAGAATCGCCGGAGAGGTCTTCAAGGTCAATTCCGTTTTGACTCTGAAATTAGTTTGTTAGACTTGAAAGAGAAAGTGAAACAGATACGATCTCTCTGTTTTTATACTTGCCAGTTGCCACGTCATACAATTTTATAATATTAAGCGTTACTTGCATTTGCTAAACGTCAGCGTCTGTAGTCCAACGGTTAGGATAATTGCCTTCCAAGCAATAGACCCGGGTTCGACTCCCGGCAGACGCAATTTTTTATTTGCATCAATTTTAAACGAAATGACGAATATGTCCTCGCTTTTAAACGCTTGAGAAGGGTGTTTCAGTAATTTATTACACAAATGGTAGATTTTTTTTTCTGATAAAGACACCACAACACAGGTCCTTTCTCTTTCTCTTTTGATATTTTCAATTCCGCGTCTTTCTCTGTAGAAATCGAAAAGATCTTGACAGAATCTGAAATTTCAAATCTCATTTTTTTTTTCATTTCAAATTAGAGCAGTCTTTTACGATTTCTTAAGGGTTTTGTATTGAAGTACGAAGCTTTGAAAAGGAGATAAATCAATGGCGGGTTACAGAGCTGATGATGAGTACGATTACCTTTTTAAGGTTGTTTTGATTGGTGATTCGGGTGTGGGCAAATCCAATTTGCTTTCGAGATTCACCAAGAACGAGTTTAGCCTCGAGTCCAAATCCACGATCGGCGTTGAGTTCGCGACTCGTAGTTTGAATGTTGATGATAAAGTCATCAAAGCCCAGATTTGGGATACTGCTGGTCAAGAAAGGTCTCATCTTTTTCCAGCTTACATTGTTCATTTTTCTCGATCTGGTTCCCTTATGGTGGAGACTTTTGTTTTGTAGTTTAGGGTTTAGATCTCTGTACATTGGTTTAGATTCATCGGCTCTTTTTTACAAGTAGAGATCTGGATTTGTATGTGATTCTGTGTATGATTAGAAAGTCATTAGCTTTATCTAAATTCTTCTGTTGCTTTTGCTAAGAATAGTTTATGTTAGAGTGCTTGATTGGTATCAATAACTTCAATTCTACGATTCCTTAGCTTTTCTTTCTCAGATTTCATTAAAGGTTCTTGAGCCATTCGGATTAGTTTTTTGAAGCTTTATACTTAGTCTGGATCCGAAATTGAAAAGCTTCTTGCTTTGTATTGTTTGTTGTTATTGTTTTCTCTGATCAGTTTCTTGAAGCTTTACTTTCTCAGGCCTTTTCTGTTGTTTTTGCTGATGTGTTTTGGTAAGAGAGCTTGATTGGTTTCAGTAGGATTCTTAACTCTTCATTTGTAGCTTCACTTAGTCAGCTTTTGAATTGGAAAGCTGATTGCTTTGTATGATATGGCTCTTCTCCAATTCTCTGATCATTTTTGTAAAGCCTAACCTTAGCTTGATTTCGAAACTGAAAAGCTTCTTGCTCTTTGTTTAACATTTTGATTCTTGGTTTCTTGTTCGCTTTAACTATGTTCTGATGTCTTGGTTAACTTAATTCTTGTTTTCTTTGACAATGTTTGAATTAGGTATCGAGCCATCACTAGCGCGTACTATCGAGGAGCTGTTGGTGCTCTTCTTGTGTACGATGTAACCCGACACTCAACATTTGAAAACGTTGAGACGTGGCTAAAAGAACTCAGAAACCACACTGATCCAAACATTGTCGTCATGCTCGTGGGCAACAAATCTGACCTTCGCCATCTCGTGGCTGTTCAGACAGAAGATGCTAAATCATTCGCAGAGAAAGAATCTCTCTACTTCATGGAAACCTCAGCTCTAGAAGCCACTAATGTCGAGAACGCTTTCGCGGAAGTCCTCACTCAGATTCACCACATTGTGAGCAAGAAGGCGATGGAAGCTGCTAGCGAATCCGCTAATGTTCCATCGAAAGGAGACAAGATCGATATCAGCAAAGATGTTTCCGCTGTGAAGAAAGGCGGATGCTGCTCTAACTAATGAGAGAGTAGAATTATTGTTAACGACCCTGAGGATCAGTTTTTGTTAACGGTTCTTTTCGAATATGAAGATTGCTTTTAGGTTGATTAATGTCATTTTGGTGTACTTCTGTTACTTATATAATTTTTACCAGTGTTATTGTTTCAAATTGCTTTGTCAAATTTTCAGAACCTTAAATTACATTATCTAAGGTAAAGAGCGATAAAAGAATCAGCTTTGATGATTTCAGTTCGGTATAGTTTCATTATATCGGCTCAATTTGGTTTAAGTTGCACTAAAATTGATTTTTAGCAAAACCGTTGGTTTTATAATATAATATTGGTATAGTTCGGTTAGCTTTTTTTTGTCTATCCCTTATTTGGTTAGAGCTTGAAGCTGAGTAATCGCCGGCGAAACTGAGAGAGAGTGTGACAGAGCTATGGCAATGGAGGAGCCAAGGAAGCTGAGAGGTCACAAATCAACAGCTACTTGTTGTATAGCTTCTCGTGACAGGCCTGGACTTGTTCTAACTTCCGGAGAGGTTTCTGAAACTTACTTGATTACTTTTAATTCGATGATTTTAGGGTTTTACGAAGAGGAATTAACAATTTGAAAGATGGATCATTAGGATGGTTGCGTTTGCTGGTTTGATTTGCGGTGTAAAGATGTTCAATTCATCATGGACGTTGGAACAGAACCAGTTTCGTCTCTTTGTTTCAAGACAGGTTCTTGTCTTACTCTCTTTCAACTTCATCTCTCTTTGTTTCAGTTTGGTGATTGATTGGTTTTCAGGTAATGAGGACATTCTCTATGCTTCTTGTGGAAACGAAATCAAGTCTTTCGATGTTCATATGGTAATTCAAAAAGATCGGAACTTTGATAAACTATAAACAAATGTTCTTCAGTCAGTTTAAATCTTCTTGCTTTCTGAAATTTTATAGTCAAGTGTTAATTCTTGGAAGCCATTAGAGAGTTTTAATTACAACAAAGACGAAGTAAACCAGGTAGTGTTCCTTCTAAAAAACACTGACTATCTGAGAAATTTTCGAATTTACCTACGATATCCATGTTGATAATCTTTTGATTTTCTTGATTTTAGGTTGTATGCAATGGAAAATCATCTTTTCTTGCTTCAGCAGATGATTCTGGAGATGTTAAGGTACACTCAATGTTTGTTCGGTTACATTAACATGATATTGTGGAACATTTCTCGGTTTGATTAGTTTGCTTGAACACAGATCATCGACATTGGTCAGAAATGCCTTTACAAAACCCTTAGGGCGGGTCATACAAGTGTATCCTTACTTCGTTGTTATAGACTTATAGTCCCTCGCATCTGTGAAATTTCTATCCTTTAAAGATCATTCTTAAGTCAATACCTTAATATGACACTGAAGATATGCAGTTCTGTGCAATTCATTCCATGGAGACCTTGGGAAGGTAACTCTAACATCTTGATATGATTCTGTTATTATGTATTTATCTCTTGAAGGTTTCTGAAATGTGTAATGTCATACAGTTATAACTGGTGGACTTGATTCGAAGCTTGTTTTATGGGATTTCTCAAAAGGTCGCTCGCATAAGATTATAGACTTTGGTAAAGCCTATACCATTGATACGGGTTTCTTTTGCCTTGTATATATGCTGTAAATCTGCATTAACAGGTTTCTTCTGTGAATCTTTCAGGTTCTGATACACATAATAACTCAGGACAATGCCTAAACCCTGCATTTGTTCACTCGATTGCAATCCCTGAAATGGACATGGTTGATAAGTTAGACAAGATATGCGCAGTTGCTAGAGGTGATGGAATCGTCGATTTGATCAATATTGAATCAGAACTTACCCGAAAAGGAACATCATCGAAAGGAAGCAGCAGCAGTAGCAGTAGCAGCAGTGCGATCAAAAGGGTTTGCTTAGATTACTCTGTTGGTGGACACAATGCTGCTGTGTCTTGTGTCGCTTTTTCTCTGTTTCAGGAGAAAGGTAGATTCTTGATCTCAGGTGGTAATGATAAGACGGTCAAAATATGGGATTGCTATAAATGTCTTGATCCAGACAACAACAACAATAACAGAGATTTCCTCCACTTTAATATTAACCTAAGCAAAAAGGTAAGTTAACTAAAGCTCTGAAAGTTCTCTTTTGTTATTTCCACTTCTTCAGTCTCTTTTGTCTGATTCTGACATCTATTGGGGATTCTTGAACAGGTGAATTGGCTTTGCACGAATCAATCTGATTCTGAGAATCTTGTTGTTTGTGACACCACCAGAGTAGTTAAGGTTTACTCAATCTCTTGATTAGGCCTGATTGATCATGAAATGACTGAAATATTTATCTTTGTTTCACATTGTTATTATTGGATTTTCTCAAATGGTTGCTTGATCCACAAGTTAGTTATTATTGTTTTCTAATCATCTACATTTTCATGTTAATAGAAAACAATTTTGTAATCATTTTGTTGACAAAAAAAACCTCATGGTCATGGATTACATTTCAACTAATTTTTTGAATTGTTAAATTCTTTTACTATCAACTTTATTACATACCATTTGTTTGTGTTTTCATTCAATTTTTGCCTAGATCAAAGTTTTCAACCAAAACTTTTATCAATGGGAATGTACAAAAAAAGGTTATCCGTAATTAGATTTTTCTTGTCCCCATTTAAGAATTTGGTACAAAGTTGAAATCCAATTTACTTTTCAATAAATTATGTTATAATCCTAAGTATAAATCCACAAAATAGTAGTAATTCATACGATTAATACTTTTGGGAGTTACACACACACACATGTGAGTGATCGAGTTCTTCTTACCATATACTATTGTTGTTGTTGCTATTTTCTTGGCATGTACGTCTTAAATGGTAAAGACATCAGATTTTCTAAAGCTCTTTGGTAAAATTGAGCAGCCTTTAACTATCGCACAAGACCCTTCTTTCAAATTCCAATCTTTCGAACATTCCTAAGTCTCTCTACTCTGCTTTCCACTATGAAACCGCCGTTGCTCCTCCTCATCCTCCTACTTGCCACCGTCTCCGCCTCTCCACTATACCCAAAACAGCTCAAGGCTCTCCAGTCTCTCAACATCTCTACACCAACCAATGATCCCTGCAACAACAACAACAACACCTCCTCCTCTTCCATAACTTGCGACGACGCTTCTCCATACCGCCACATTACCTCTATCTCCTTCACAAACTGCCCCTCCAATCTCTCTCTCACCTACAAAACACTCAAACCTCTCTCCATATCCCTCCTCACTCTCTCCTTCACAAACTGCCCTTCTCTTCCACCTCCACACCACCTCCCACACTCACTCAACTCCTTCTCCGCTGTCTCCTCCTTCCTCCACAACCGTGGCCGACTCTCCGGCCTCTTCCTCGCTCGTCTTGTAAACCTTCAAACCCTCAAAATCTCCTCAACCCCAATCTCAACCTCACGTCGTCTTTACGTAATCCTCGGTAATATGCATAAACTCACTTCCCTCACAATCTCAAACTCAAATCTCTCCGGCTTTCTCCCTAAATCTTTCCACTCAAATCTCACACACATAGATTTATCAAACAACTCACTCAAAGGCTCAATACGAACTTCCATTACTCGTCTCACAAACCTCAAGTCTCTAGATTTATCTCATAACTCTCTCTCCGGCCAAATACCAAACACAATAAAAAACTTAACCTTTCTAAAAACCTTGTCTTTAGCTTCAAACAAACTCTCAGGAACAATCCCAAACACACTCTCATCGATTCCTGAACTTACACATTTGGATCTTACCAAGAATCAACTAAACGGCACCATTCCAAGTTTCTTCTCCGAAATGAAGAATCTCAAACACTTGAACCTCGCTGATAACTCCTTCCATGGAGTTTTACCATTCAACGAAACGTTCATAAAAAATCTCAACTTTTTCGAAATCGGAGGCAACGATGAGCTCTGTTACAACAAAACTGTTCTCTCCTCGAAATTGAAACTGAAGGGTATTGCTCCATGTGATAAATACGGCTTCCCTTTATGGTCCCCGTCCCAAAAGGAGGAAACTTTGTCAGGGGAAAACGATTACGGCGATTACGACGGTGAAGGAGGAGGAAATGAGAAGGAGACTGAGAAGGTGAAGGAAGATGAAGAAGAAGAACACAATGGTTCCAAAAAGACACTGTTTGGTCTCGGTATTGGTCTTTTCTCGCTTGTGTTCTTAATCCTCTTACTCTTTTATCTTTCTAAAAGGTGTCGTTGGATTTAAACAAACAAAAAGGTTTGATCTTTACCTAAAGAGTTCCAGAGATCTTCATTAGGGTTCTTTCGAGTATAAATCACACCTTAGATGATTTATTATTGGGTTATTAGCTATTCTCCAAGCGTTATGTAATTCATATTTTCCTGCAAGTATGGTTTAGCACTATTCGTGCGTGAGCGAAGGTAGTGTTCATTACGTTAATTTACCAGTAGAACATTCCTATAGGTTCCTGAAGTGAAACATGTGAGTTGCTGAGCTAAAAGGGCAGTGAAATCAAAGGAGATGCTTTGGCTTCAAGTAAAATAAAAATTATGTCTCCAAGGTTTTTGGAAGATTTTGATTCTACCAAACTCATGTCAAAAAAGGTTTTACTACAACAAGAAAATTCTTTTAAAATCCAAAGATGACAAACTTTAAAACAGGCTAGAATCAACAAAAATCTTAAAAAGATCAAAACACTTTGTTTAACCAGTGATGTTCTGAGACTTGTTGAGAATAACTCCTTCATACTTGACCTGGAACCATTTCATGGCATCATCCTTGGTTACTCTGTGTTGAATACCAACACGGGCCTTGCATCTACGGCGACGAGCCACACGGTATCCTGGGCGTTCTAGGACAACGTAAAAGTCCATTCCATAGATACCGGTAGAAGGGTCATACCTAAACACACAAAATAATAGATAAGAATGACAGAGAATTTACAACTTTTAATAAAGCAAAAATCTAGATTACAGAGAAACTAGTTTAACTCAGTTTCAAATCGTATGAAGCAAAACATTCATCTTTTACTAAACCAGACAGTAATCTTCATATTTTAACGGGCTCATCTAGAATCCATTCCAAACCTATCATTCTTCGAAAGCCAGAGTAAATCAAAGAAAAATGTAACATAGAACAAACACCAATGAAGTCTTCCTATCATTATGACTTAAATGCACAACCTCCCATATTTGGAGACTAAACATTTAGATGCAACTACAATACTCTTCAACCTATACAGAGTACCAAAATCTTTATGCAGAGCAATTAAAGAATCTATTTCAAGGATATGTTTATAAAATGAATTTAAAACTTACTTGATTCCAAGATCGATGTGCTCTTGGATACCGAATCCAAAGCAACCAGTGTCACTAAAGTTCCTCCTAAGAAGCTCGTACTCCTTAACCTTCAAACCACTCTCAAGAAGCTGCATAGCCTTCTCACCTCTCACAGTCACATAGCACGCAATCTTCTCATTACGCCTAATACCAAAAGACCTCACAGTGTACCTCGCTGTTTAACAAAAACCACAACATACATCAGATTCAAAAGCAACACAAACTCAAAATCATAGAAACTTAAATCTCTGGCATTAACATACCCTTGGAGAAGACAGGGGTTTGACCACTGAGCTGTTCCAACACCTACACATAATGACACAAAACTTATCACTAAACATTTCCCCAGTAGCTTCTACTATAATCTACATTCCATTGATTTAGACTCAGCACAATGAAGTGGAATCGTATAAAGTATAGATCTTTTTCAATTACCTTAGAGGCACGAGTGAGACGATCACCACTCTCACCAACGGAGATGTTGAGAACAAGTTTCTGAACCTTAATGTCCCTCATGGGGTTCGAGAGCTTCTTCTCCGACGCCTGAGAGACAAAAAGAACAAAACCCAGACATTAACACATTGAACAAAACACATTTTCATCGAATCGAGCTATAGACACAAACGAAGATGAGTAGAAAATTACCATTTTGAGGAGATCAAAGCCGAGCTAAGAGATGAAGCAATGAAAGAGTTGCGGAAACGAAACTGCGTTGAGTGCGAAGTGAGAGGAATTATAAGGGTCGGCTACTTAGGGTTTCTTATATCATCGCAATGACGATAGTATCCCTTTGGATTATCAAAATGGTTTAATAAAGGCCCAAGTTACAAAGCCCACGACAATAACATATTCTTAAGGACAAGTTACAAAGCCCACGATAATAACATATTCTTAGGCCCATGTTTTAAGGTCTTTTCCTAAACCGATCTCGGCGAACCGAAAAGATTATTTTTTCTATTAAGAGGAAATGAGTTTGGTCAATATGTGTCAACTAGTTCAGCTGTAACTTTTTTGTAGCTGTAACAGTTTTATGACAAAACAACATTTGGAGACAGACACTTGGACCTCTAGGTTCATACCTCCTTCACACTGTTCCACTAAACCTTTCAGAACCTTTAATGAGACATCATTGGTCTTATGTTCAGATGTGGCTGTGTACAAAGCAAAGCCAATTCCACTACTTCCTCCAACACCAAATCATCAAACTCTCCCTTCAAATCTCTGTCCACCATTTCTGCAAATCTCTTCTCTGCTTTCAATGTCCTTACCTGATCCAACACAAATCAATGGTTTTGATTTGTGTTTTCTTCTTTTGTATAAGTGAGTTAGTGACTCTCTTCCAATGGCACCCAAGGTATTACACACAAGTTAATATATGTCTTTCATTACTGTTACTATTGTAGTAGAAAGAGCATTACTATTAAACATTCAAACTATACAGTTTTTTACTTCATTATTTCTGTTTATACTGTCGATAAGAACATGGATACCACATTACTGATCATTTAAAACATAATTAACACTTGAGACATCATTGGTCTTATGTTCGGATGTGACTGTGTATAAAGCAGCCACTGATCATTTGAGACATAAATAAAGAAGTATACTTCATAAAAATAAAACAAAGGAGAGTTGAAAATAAGCAAAGCACTCTTCCTCTTCTTCTTGTTCACATCCTCAGTTTCTTGCACTATCGCTTTTGGTTGCTTCCTCAAGGCCATGCGATTTTAAACGCATATGCTGCCGACTAGAGAAATGCTCGGTGAAACTTTCAAGGCCTTGGCCACGAAGATGTTTACATGATATGCAAAACCAGCTAGCAGATTCACCAGCTTCAGTGCATGTATCCTCCTCATCAAGTGCCCTTGAATTTGTCAGAATCAAGCTTTCCCAGAGGATGGAGTCTTGTTGAAGAGAAGAATATGAAAACGGCCTGAAAAGGTTGTATCCACTCCGAGGTACAGAGAAGCCACTCGGGTCGCATATGCCCAAAATATTAGCTGGGGGTGAATTCTCGGACATCCTCCTAGACATAAACGACACAATGTCTTTGGAACCTTGGTGGCCATGGCAAAGTTGGATTCCAGTGGAAGAGAGCGCTTGAAAGAGGTGACCAGGTATGCTTGATAGATTGCCAACGGCAGTGATGGTGAGAGGATCAGAGTAGCCATATTTAGCCAAATCCACTACTTCCTCCAACACCAAATATATAGTGGTAGACGGTAAAAGTGTGTTTCCTCAAATCCACTTTTATTATAGAAAAAAAAAAGATAATTTACAATTAATGATAATGGAAACAAAACCAAGTTAATACATTTTTTTAAGTTTCATCGTGGTCCGGAGAGCTCAATGGCTTCAATAATAAAAGAATGATCATCATGACCATTACTGTAGTTCCTAGAGACACTTGGACCTCTAGCTTCATACCCTCCTTCACACTGTTCTACTAAACCTTCTAGAACCTTTAACACTTGAGACATCCTCGGTCTTAAAGTCGGATGTGGCTGTGTACAAAGCAGAGCCAATTCCACTACTTCCTCCAACACCAAATCATCAAACTCTCCCTTCAAATCTCTGTCTACCATCTCTGCAAATCTCTTCTCTGCTTTCAATGTCCTTACCTGATCCATTACAAATCAATGGTTTTGATTTAAGTTTTGTTCTTTTGTATAAGAGACCTTCTTGGTCAATATAAATCAAGTAAAGTTTCTTGCTTTATGAAAATGACTAAAAGAATATGACAGAAAAGATTGAATCTTCTTTACTTACCCAACTCAAAATCATTCCTTTTCGAACTTGACCATTGCCTTGATCAATCATCTTATGACCTGTTATGAGTTCAAGAATTAGTACTCCGAATCCGAAAACATCAGTTTTCTCAGAGGACTGTCCAGTGGAAAGGTACTCAGGAGCAATATGTCCAATGGTTCCTCGGACTGCAGTTGTGACATGTGAATCTCTCTGGTCTAAAAGCTTTGCGAGACCAAAATCACCAACAATTGCTTCAAAGCTCTCATCAAGTAGAATGTTTGCAGCTTTGACGTCTCTGTGAATAATCTTTGGATTGCATTGCTCATGCAAGTAAACAAGACCTCGAGCTGCGCCAAGCGCAATGCTTATCCTCCGATTCCAATCCAGAGATGGTTTTTCTACATAATTGTCTGAAACATGTCTATCTTGTAAGGAACCTTTTCCATTATATATATATCGAAAAAATAACAAAACAAGAAATGTTTTCATTGAATACCTCTCAGGCGATCAGCTACACTTCCATTTGGCATGTACGGATACACCAGCATTCTCTCTTCCGGGGTCATACAGAATCCAAAGAGTCGTAAAAGGTTACGGTGAACAGCCAAGCCAATCATCTCTACTTCAGTTTGAAACTGAACTTCTCCTGTATAATTAGGATCTTTCAATCTTTTAACCGCCACCATAGTTCCATTTGGGAGATATCCTTTATAAACCATCCCGAATCCTCCTTGTCCCAAAATGTTCTTTGGACTAAAATTGCTTGTCGCAGTTTGTATCTCGCGGAAACTGAACCTTTTCAGATGCCCAATTTCAAATTCGTAGTCTTGCTGCACTAAGAAATCCATAAAAAGTAATGCAGATTTCAGCAACGTCCTAGACATCTACTGTAAATGACAAACAGAATAAAGATTTTGAGAGACTATAGTAATGTGTACCGTATGATCTTGAGAGACGTGATCGATGCCAAAGCACCCAAAAGAAGAGTAACATTAGAGAGACGATAAAGGCAACAACAATGCCAAATGCAAATGAGAGCACTAAGCTGTGATGTTTTCTAATATCCTTTGTCGGCAAACCGGTCGCTGGAGATCAAATAACCACATGTTAAACAATTCACGTACTACATAAAAAAAAAGTTTAATTTGGCAGAGAATTTTCGGTTCAACATACCATTCCTCACAGGTGTAGAATCTGAGCAAAGCTCTTGGGAAGCTGGACCACAAAGGAATGCATTTCCTACAATCCTACAACAGAAAAATTAATCAAGAAGCTTTCACATGCATTGAAATAGCTAATAATCATGCATCTTTCGAATATCTTACCTGTAATCTTTTGCTAATATATTTGGAGTTGGTCCACTAAGATTATTGAACGATAGATCCCTATTCAAAACCAATAAAGTAAGAAGCATTATACAAAACAGTAAACCTCAATATACTGTAATGTTAGGTAGAGGTCGTAGAGCAAGACATACAAGAAAGAAAGACCTGAGAGGCCAGCGACAAGGTGAGGGACTTGCCCGGATAAAAGATTCCTACTAAGCCGCCTATAAGACTTAAAAAGAGACTTGTAAGATGATAACAGTAACAACCATTAACTACTAAACCAAGAATCATTAACATCAAACTCACAAGTAGTTTAAGTGAGTTAAGAACCCTAACGTAGCTGGGATCTCTCCACTAAACTGGTTTCCAGATAGATCAAGTGTCTCAAGCTCAGAAAGTTGGCCTAACTGAGATGGAATTGGACCTGTTAACTGATTATTCTGCAGTAACCTACAAAAATTACAAGTAAACAACAACACATTCTTGAATTCCAAGATTGACTAATCACAAGTGGTTTACTCACAATGTATGAAGATGAGTTAATTCCCCAATACTAGTTGATATTATCCCTGATAACCCTTTACTAGCCATCTCTCTGCATTAGAACATTCAATAAAAACAAATTCAACTTTGCAATAACCAAAAAAACGTTTCACAGAGACATTTAGTCAAACAAGTGATGCGCAAAAGATACTCACAGAGAAACCACAAAACCTTCAGAGGAGCTGCAACCAACCATGTTCCAAGTACAAGGATCAACAGAGTTTATATCCCAACCAGACAAGACCTCTTTCTCATCTTTCATCTTATTCTTCACTGACATTAAAGCAGCCACTACAACAAAAAACAAAAAAACTGAATCAAAGTTCAAACCTTTCTTCACTATAAAAGAACTTGAACTTTATTCACACCTTCATAGTTAACACCCTTTGGAGATAAAAGACTATCCATAGCAGAAACAGAGTCAAGAACAGAGTAACAAAACCAGATTGCTAAAAACAGAAACTTTATCAAAATCTCCATCTAAAGAGAGAAAGTAAAGAAATCCCAAGACTTCAATGTTATCTTATTCCCCGCAATTATTTTGTTTGCCCTTTCGTCTAGGGCAGACATTAAAAACATTATAAATACCATTAAAAAGACAAGCTTTTTTGCATTAAATTTATCTACAAATTGAATCGGGAATGAACGAAGAAGACGAAGACAAATTATAAAAAATTGACGATTGTAGCAAATGGAAGCGGGAAAATCTCGAAATTGTCAAACCATTGTTCCCTTGTCTTCTGCCCTTCAAGACTTTTTTTTGTCTGACTTCAACAGTGTCAGTGAGAGTAGATCCTCTGTTATCAAACCTATGATAGTAATGGTACAACCACACACTTGAAACCTCATCTGATTAATTAAATCAATCAACGGCTTGATTTATGCTAATGTCACCATTGATACACAACACAAGTCATCATTTTATACTCGAGAGGAGATTGTTAAAGTCCTTATACTAGAATACTAGATTAGACTTTAGAGAATCAAACTAGAGATCCATGAAAACACAATACATAGTAAGGAACTAATAGTTACTTAACCTCCAAAATCCAAGCCTAAAAAGAACTAAACAAGTACCAAGGAAGTTACTACAGAAAACCAAAAAACGGACTACTTTCAGCTTCGAGTGAAACAAAAGGCAAATATGATTCCATGACCAAGTCCCTGGCTTTTTTGGGGAAGACGAGATCGTAGTATTGAACTTGTGATGATACTCCTCTTGTGTTACCATCGGAGTTGCAGGTACGAAGGATCCATCTGATCTTGATGCCCCTGAAAGTGTCAACGAACGCATCGTTCTCTAGCAACAGATATCCATCAACTCCATTATATGTGTCTAAGCTGACCCTGTTGGAAGTGGAAAGAGTGATTTTGGTGTGCATCATGGAAATTCGTGAATGACAAGAGTCATATTGGTTGACAAATGAGTGATTCCTTTCTGAACAAATCCCCAGATGTAATCGTTTAGCTTTTCGTTCGGTGAGCATGAGTTAGCAAGCATAGCACCGCAACAACCAGCCATCACAGCCGTGGCTGATACAGTGGCTGCAGCCATGAAAAGAGATGATCTTTTCATCTTCAGTTTCTGCGCAAAAAAGACAAACAAGGAAGACAGTGTCATCGTAGGTCATTGTGAAATTAGAACAACAAACCAAACCCCTCAAACCAAAATTGGGCAAATCCAACAAATCAAATCCCTTCTATCTAGATAGCCAGATCTAGCAAAGACAGTAGGTTACGTGTGAACAGTTCATGAAACAAAGACGACTGCTGTCAATTAAACTCACAGACCAATATAGTTTCACCCTAAACACGCAAAAGACCAAAAGTGATTATTGGAATACTAGAGATTATAGTCTTAAAAACAAGAACTCCAAAACATCACTCATGAATCAGGACACATGATGAGCAACAGTAGCTAAAGCTTAAGAGTTAAACAGATCATCCAAAACAGACTCGTGAATTAGTATCCTAGCTGGAGCGAGCAACCATTTAAAAGATCAGATCCTATGATAAGCTTATGACTTGTCAGAACTTCGTCAAGAAAGCAAAAGGTGAAGAAACGTTTCTAAATCCAAATCTAAAGCATTCAAAAGCAGATTTTTACTTCCTTCTTCACGAATTAGCAAACCAAAAGTAGCTATTAACCTTCACTTTATATCACTAAAACCTCTGGAACAAGCCTATTTTGATTTCCCTCTACCAACCATTTGTTTTCGCTTGTCTTAATACTTCCCTAATCTCCAACAATGTTTCGTTTCCACAACAGAGAGAGACTTCAGAATCGGAAAGACTTACCTCAGATGTAGCAAAACCCTGACGAAGAAAAGCAATGGACTTGCTCAAAACCCAGAAACGAGAATGGTGGCTCCGTGACTGCAGCGAATCCAATCCGTAAAACCCACTTCGACATCTACAATGTAAAGCTCATTCCTTTACCAGCAATGGCGGAATCGTGTGGAATCGAGCGTTTCTGTGTTCCATTTGATAGTCGGAATCGAGGGGGAAGGGTTCGTGTTTTGATACAAAACATATCTCAAACGGTTTCGTTTAATATGAAACCGTCCGGTTCAATAGAAACCGTTCGGTTCGTTAATTTTAGCTCAATCTAAAACTTGTTTGTTGATTGTTGCTGATCTTGCTCCCTCTCCGCCGCTCTCTTGCTCTCTCTACCAAGAACTTTTACTGTTACCGAAACCCAAACTTGAGAAATGGCCTCTGGAGAAATGGTGATCTATGTTAATGTTTGAAAAGTGTTTCCTTTTTCCCCAAATTTACAGTGGTTAGATATGAATTCTCTAAAATCTTTGAGGTACAGTAGCATCAGAGAAGCTTTAACTCATCAAAATCCAATAAAGTCTTCATCTTTATGTCCCCTTTACTTGTACAATCAGAGAAGATGGTTAAAGCCTGTAGATTCAGCGCAGACTAGGTTAGAGAATCGAACGAGAGATCATAAGTTAGACAAACTCATTGCTCAGATTAGGAAGCAAAACGTCATACTCGAGATTTCTAAACTCATGTCTTGCAAAAAGCGTGGTCCTTTTGTGTCTTTGCAGCTTATGTCTCGATGGAAGAATCTGGTTGGTTTGAATGTAAATGTTGGAGCTTTTGTTGGTAAGTATCCTCATGCTTTTGAGATCTTTACACATCCCTTTAGGAAGAATCTGTGTTGTAAGATTACTGAGAAGTTGAAGGGATTGGTTGATGAGGAAGAGAATGTGATTAGAGAGTGTGAGGTTGATGCTGTGAGACGGATAAAGAAGTTGTTGTTGATGTCGAGAAATGGTGTTCTTCGTGTACATGCTTTGAGGTTGATTAGAAGGGAATTGGGTTTACCTGAGGATTTTCGAGATTCGATTTTGGCTAAGTATACTTCAGATTTCAGGTTAATTGATTTGGAGACTTTAGAGTTAGTTAATGGAGATGGTGATGATGAGAGTTTGTGTGTGGCAAAAGTTGAGGAGTGGAGAGAAGTTGAATACAGAGAGAAATGGTTGAGTGAGTTTGAGACGAATTATGCGTTTCCGATTCATCTTCCGACAGGGTTCAAGATTGAGAAAGGATTCAGAGAAGGGCTAAAGAATTGGCAAAGGATACCTTATGTGAAGCCTTACGAGAGAAAGGAGATTTCTCGAGGGTTAGAGAGATTTGAGAAGCGAGTGGTTGCAGTTATCCATGAGCTTCTGAGCTTAACGGTAGAGAAAATGGTTGAAGTCGAAAGATTAGCTCATTTCCGAAAGGATCTTGGAATTGAAGTAAACGTGAGGGAAGTAATATTGAAACATCCTGGGATTTTCTATGTATCGACGAAAGGAAGTACGCAGACTTTGTTTCTGAGAGAAGCTTATAGCAAAGGCTGTTTGATTGAGCCAAATCCGATATACAATGTGCGGAGGAAAATGCTGGATCTTGTGTTATTGAAAACGCGTCATTCGAGAAAATTGTTACAAACGGAGGGTGAAACTCATGAAGAAGAGAAGAGGGATGTTTTGATTGGTTCTGATGAAGATTGGGAAGGAGAGAGAGATGGAGATTGGGTCTTACCAATTCTGGGGAAATGAAGTTTGTGCAAAAAGTACCATTCAATTCCCAAAGTGTATCAGGTTGGAGTTGTTTGTGAATTAGATGATCCTCTCTCAAATCGTCCCCTGAAGACTCTCGGATGTCAACAAATCCTTCAGTGAGTAGTAAAGGTTTTATCCACCAGCTGGTAGCCGTGATTTGCTCATTGAAGGTATGTTAAATGCTGGCTACTTGGAATCTGCTAAAGAAATGGTGAGTAAGATGACCGAAGGAGGGTTTGTTCCTGATATTCAAACTTTTAATACTCTGATTGAAGCTATATCTAACTCAGGGGAAGGTTAATTTTGCATTGAGATGTATTGTACTGCTTGCAAGTTAGGTCTTTGTGTAGCTAACGACACTTACAAGATACTTACACCTGCGGTTTCAAAGATGGAAAGATTGATGAGGCGTTCTGTTGCTGAACAATTGTGTGGAGATGTGCGTTTCCGAGTTTGTATGCTCCAATAACTAAGGAAATGTGTAGAAATGGGTTGTTTGATGATGCCTTTAGCTTTTTCAGTGACATGAAGGGGAAGCTCATCCACCTAACAGGCTGGTTTACACAATGCTGATTACAATGTGTGGTCGTGGCTGGAAATGCGTGGATGCAGCTATAATAACTTGGTTGAGATGACAGATGGGGTTGGTTCCGATATCAAGACTGATGGGTTGAAGAATAGAACATTTAGAAGTTCAGCTTAGAGGAGTTTGATATTTCTAAACTTAGAAGGGCTTTTGAGGTCTCTCCTACGCTCTGATACTTAGGATTCTGTAGAATATTCAGCTCATTTTTCATAAGCTTGTCTAACTGTTGTTGGTTAGGTTACACTTGGGTTTGGGTAGGTTAGCTGGTCTCGAGACTAGTTTCTTTCCAGGAAAAAAGGCGAGATAGAAATTACACATTTTGCTGTCTCTTGTTTTTATCAATCTGTCAGATCATTATTAAGAGACAACATCTGACTTTATTAGTGCACAATCTACAGAGCTAACAGAGTCAAATAAACAGTGAAGCACTTCAGACAACACAATCTTCTGCATAATAATACATTGATTCGTCTGTTCCACAAATTACACATTTCACTTTCACCACTCTCACTTACGTTTCGTATCGTAACATTTCCACCGGTAAATTTGTATGCTCTCACTTCTCAGTGTCCGTATAGAAACACACATGGTCAATGATATCAGAGACTACAGTGACCACTGTCCACGACTACATATATAACCAAAACCAGTGTTTGAATCCAAGTTACTCCACAGACTAATTACAAGTTGCAAAAACCGAGGTCCAAGCCAGACAGACACAGATAGTTATTTAACGAAATGTGCAACTGTGCTTCATTAATACCAAGGTTTGTGCTTCGTGGGCAAAACCAACAATTTTCTATAAGCCTTTACTTTAGAGCCACAACACAAAAGAAGTACCAACAAACAAATTGTACGAAAGCACACCGTAAATGATGAAACTACTCTACAATTAGCAAAAGGTTTTGGCCTCGTTGAGAAACAACCATGTATGAAGATGCACCATTCGCATGGGTATATTATATGTCAGCTTCATGGAAGTTTTGAGATAGAGATACCTGAAGAGGAAGAAAAAGTTACATGAATGAGTGTATTCTTAAAAGGATTTACAAAACTTTACAATGGTTTATATATAAAGGATCACTTTACCTTCTCGCCTAATTTGAAGGGTGGTAAACCCTTGTAAGGGCATGTACCGCAGCGGAAGGCATCACCAAGCCCACACTGAAAGTATTATATAAGAAATTTTCAGTCATATGGAACCAAACATTTCAATGCATACAGAAAAGGATATGAACAAAGAAGCTTACGCTGCCACATGCTGATTGTGGATTCTCGATTTGATCCTCTGTGAGCCCTAGCTTCACAGCTTTCTCCTCAATCTCAGCTCTACCACAAACACAGTTCTTGCAAGCTTTTTTAGATGTCTCACAACCGCTGGCTGCAAAAAAAAAGCAAGATATCGTACACACAAGGGATGAATAAGGATAACAAAGATCATGTGGTTGGTCTTTAACTACCAGCAGGAAGCTGCGGCTTCTTCAGGTCCTCCTCTGTTAAAAGAGAATCTTCATCAATAAGATCCGAGTCATCATCTAGATTAACCTTTAAGAGGACTTTTGCAGACTTTTTGAGAGCAAATGATGAACCAATCTTCCAAGAAGGTTTCTTTGCCTTAATCTGCATTTGAAAACTGTTATATGGATGAGCCAAGTGATATATGCAAATTTGACAGATAAGTAGAATGAAGATCTCTTATCCTTCATGTTAAAGGCCTATAGAGTAAAGCCTGAACCCAAAAAACATGTTTTGATTCATACGTTCGGGAAAGAAAAATCGTTTCTACGTACTAAATGAAAAGGGAAGACAGACAAGGCATGTAAACATACTAACCCCAAAGGATAAACTGAATGTGGACAACTTGATTGATTTCAAATCAAGACACTGTGGCTCCAGAAAACCAGCCAGAGTAACTCTCCTTTGAATGGTCTGCAAGGAAGATGCCATAAGATTTAAGCAATAAGTGGTCAAATAAACCTATTACAAACACCAGATGCAGGACAAAACCTGTTGCATTTCTTCCATTTCACCTTCCAAATGCTTGCACACAAAAACCGTGCCACCAGGCTTCAAGATTTTTGAGAACTCACCACATATTTTATCACTGGGAAAATCAGAAGTTTTAGAAATGGCTAAAACGGCGTCCACTGAGGAAGAATCCGAAGGAAACTGATCTGCAAAATGATCAATAGTCCAGCAATTTGAGAAGAAGACACAAAAGAATACCCCAGCATGTCTACAAGTGTTGTCACCCAAGAAAAAAAGCACAATCTATTAGTCTTAAAAATTGCTCACCTCTCCATAGTAGAGACACGAATATTCTTATCTACATACAGTCCACACTAACCATATGATAATTAGTAATTACTACAAGTTCAACTGAGCAGTCAAACAACTATTTCATAATCTGAGCATAGAATAAAAAGGATCCGAGATTTACTCATTGTGGATGCTTGAGTAATAATGAGAGGATCACAACGTTCAATTCCTTCCTTTCCAAACTCTTTCATAATAGTTAGAACAGAGCTAACAGGCAGCACCACATCATCCGTCACAGCAAAAACAGTATTCTGATTCACCATCGAATCCTACAAAAACAAAATCCCAAACAGTAAAAGACAGAAACTTTGAAAACAAAACTCAACAGAAACGAAAGCCAAAATCATAAAAGAAACAACACTGTGTAACAAACAGAACTTTGAGAGAAGTTAATATTTCAAGTTATGACAACATAAGATATAATGCAACAAATCTCAAGCTCATTTGAGAGTTTCTCAAAAGAAACAACTTTAATACAACAGCCAACTTAAAGAATCCATGGTGATAATGTAAGGTTGATGCATAACTGAGAACTACTGAAATTACAATGGATTTGTCGAAAAAAGCTTACTTTACGTATTAAAAGAAAAAAAAAACTTAGTCGAATATTTCAAAGATTACTAAATAAAAACAAAATATGGATTTGGTCAAAAGATTAGAAAAAGAGATGGACCTCGAAGAACTCTCCGGCGTAAGCTTGAGCGAGCTGTGTCTTCTTGACCTGTCCCTGTAACTGTAACATCTGCTTCGGGCGAATCATCGGACTAAGTTTTGAGATATTGGGCCTGGAAGCCCTTCTTTATTCAATTTTAAACATGGGCCAGACCATTTCAAAGCCCTTCTTTGAAAGTATAATACGTTTTAGTGACAATGCAAAGCCCAATTAGGACGTTCGCACACATAAACACCTTACTTGGTATAGATTTCCTAACAGTGGTTTTGTCAACTTGTAAAAAAATGCTTTAAAACTATTATTTTCTTGCTTATTTAAGACATGCAAATATATTAAAGTGTTTTTGAACGTTAGAAACATCCAGTAAAACTATAAAAAGAAAGTGAGGAGATCAAATAAAGTGAAAAAAATTTAACCAAAGGAAGAAAGAAAAGTGAAAAAGAAGAAAGTCAAGAAGAGAGAATGAAAGGATGTGAAGATATAGACGTGACGAAAGTGCTAAGAATTAAGTACTTTGGTTTATCTCTTTTTGGTGAATGATAAGAACATCCACATCGAAATTTGATTTTTTCTTTTATTAAAGAAAATTCATATTAAAATAAATAAAAAATGTGAAAGCGGAATAAAGTGGAATTCATAACAAAACAAATAGATAAATATGAAGAAAAAAATAACAATTTGGATCAGAGAGTCCATCAGAAAAAACAAAGTGAAGGCAGCCAAGAGAAGAGAAGAGAGTATAGAGGCATATAAATATCAATAGAGAGTATAATATATCGTGTTTGACGTATAACTCTGGTTTAATTTTGTTGTGTGAAACCAATCATGGACTAGCAAATTAAAGAACATTCACTAGTACTTTTTTTTTTGTCATCTCAGTAATTAAATTACAAGTTTATCGGGAACAAACTCTCCTTTATAAATTACAAGTTAAATTCACTAGTACTTTTAATTACATGTAATAAAAGCATTTTTGTTTTAATTTGAGTTTTAAGTTATGGATAAAACAGACTAAGTTTATTTGTATGTAAAACAGTTTGTAATAATTATGCGGTAAAAGAATGCTTTATAATAACGTAGTAGCTGATAAAGTCGACTAAGTTTATTTGTATGTAAAATCGGTTTATAATTTATTAAATTTGTATATAAATTTTCGTAATAAAAAATTACAAAATTAAAAAATAAATCTTTGATTTGTACTACTCTGAATGATACTTTATAAATGATAAATTAAAAATAGTACGATATATAAACATATTTGTCTATCTCAATCATATATAGTAACCATTTTCTACTCAACAATTCAACTCTAAATAACCTAAACTATATCTTATTGTGAAGGTATCTTATTCGCTAGTGTATTCTTTTGAAAAGAATAATATGAATAGAATACTTGGAGTAAAATATGGTATGCATAGCCATATTATCGTAGAAAAGACAAACAAAAAAAACCAATAAGCTATCTCACCAGCTTCTCTGCAATTATCTTACCAATACTTTTCCACCTTACCCACTTTGTTTTGTCTTCCCTCTTCTAACATTTTCCTTCTCATTATTCTATATATCACATGGAGTAGTAGTACGGCTCCAGAACAATATATCGTATGAATCAGAATTGTCTTCACAAATCGGTAACATATATATAGTCATGTACATGCATGTTGGTTTAAGATGCTTCTTTGGATACCATCAATATCTTTTAAGCTATGGCGATGATATCATTTTTGGTTTTTTGGTAATGGTCAGGACATATAGAGAGTTGATTCTTTACGTTCCGGGACCTCATTTTTTTTGTAAGTCATTGTCAAACCCTGATTTTATTCGGACTGACGTATCAACTAAACACACTAGTTTTCATTGAGATGACAACTAACGTGTCAATACCAAATTCTAATTCTTTTTCGAGCTAAGTCGTTTCAGTCTTTCAGAGCGTCAACCCAATAATCAGAATCTCATGTTAATTAGTGATTATTATGACCTATTACATTCGTGCAAAATGAATCATCAGGAAATTTTAATGCTAAACCATTATATTATAAGGCTTTGTTGAATAATGTTTATGTAAATTTGGATGTGAAAAAATGTAACTTTTTTATCAAATAAAAATTGCACTAGTTAAGAAAATTTTGTCAATTTTTAGAAATATTTTTTCTATAATTTCCAAAAAGAAAAAAGAAAAAAAAAATACAAAGTAACTTTGACAAAACCGCATGTAACTCACACACCACAACAATCGCACAACACTCGAATCTAATTAATACTCACATGATTTATCTTAAACCAAACTTTTTCTCACGTCCCTAACTCAACGCGAAACAGTACGTATGTCTTTAAGAAGACCCAAGACTTGTTGCATTGTTGGTCGCTTCCCTGGCGTATCAGCCGTGCAAAAGTAACCAACCCGAAGACTCTCGACCATCTCATTAACCGATTCTCCAACCGCTAATCGCAATCTCGAATCAAGAGCTTCTTCACCTCTCCTCTCCTTAACCAACCTTCGAACCGATTTAACATTCTCATCACTCCCTTGCTTCCCGGTTAACAACTCAAACAAAATCACCCCGAAACTATACACATCGAATTCTACATTGTTATCATTGCCCGTTTTCGCTATGTTGTTGATACCAAAATCCGAGATCCGCGGCTCTAGGGTTTCGGTTAAGAGGATGTTGGTAGCAACTAAGTGTCCATGAGTAGTACCAACATGATGAAGATAGGCTAAACCACGTGCAACCCCAATGGCAATACGGTGACGTATAAGCCAGTTTGTTTTCTCAGGAGACGAGTCTCCGACGTGACTCTCCCATGTATCAGCACTCCAATCTTCCACGTTGGTTTCTCCAGCCGGAAGCTCGTGTAACCATCGGTGAAGATCTCCGTTTGCCATAAATTCGTATAATATAAGCTTCTCTTTTCCTAATAATCAATAAACCATATTATTAGTTAGAAACATATGTTTTCATTTTTCCTATCTAAGAAATGACTAGGAAAGCATTATTATTTAGCATATTACGTAAAGAGAAAATATTGTTGAGACCCGACAAGCTAATATATAAAACCTATACGAGTCCCAAAGCATAAGGATGTGACTTGTCTGCACATATTTTAAAGTCAGTCCACTAACAAAGACACCAAATGAAACAACCCTAAAAACAAGTCGTTGTAAGAATCTATCACAAACACACACATACACATTACTTTATTCATATTTTCTCTGGAGAAAACTTTTTGGAATAATTATACGTTTTTACGTTAAGTTCACGAAAATTCATAAAAGAAAAAAAAAATCTAGTAATCATGGCACAAAAAACATATTAGATTTTTCTACGTAACGTAACATCATTACACAACTGACAAATTTTATTTTTTCTCGTCTGTACAATATGCTACTGTGCATACTACTAATGAATACGACACCGTTCAGCATTTAATGCCCTCATTAATGTTTATCCAAAAACCCGTGAAAGTAGAGACAAAAATTCATTAAATGACGTCTACGCCTCGATATTTTTTCTTTTTTTGAATTTCAACCCCCAGCAAAATAAAAAAAAATGTTTATAGAATAAAATAGTCAAAACCTAGTCCTTCATATATAGATATATTTATATTTGGTTCTAAATTAGCTTATTCCACCAATTAAAATTTACTTTGTTATTTATAGCAAAATATATACAGTATTTGCGAATTGGTAGTAGAAGAATCAAAGTATATGGGGTTTTAAATCAATTCCAAAACTTTAGGTCATAATTAATAAGAAATAAGAACTATGGGGACAGATTAGTTTAGTACCTGCGATGCAATAACCGGAGAGAGTCAACAGATTTGGATGTTTAAGCCGAGTCAAAGCTTCAAACGCAGTAATGGCGTCGTTTTGATCAACGTCTCTGATCTTTTCAAGCACTTTGATTGCCACGTGGAGATCTCCTGGTAATACGGCACGATAAAGCGGACCACAAGTGCCGTCAGATATAACGGACTCCGTTCCGAAATGTGACGTGGCAACAATCAGATCCTTGAAAGTAAGATTCATCAACGGCTTAGATGCCATCACAACCGGAGCCGCCGTTGGTTCTTTTATATCGGCGACCCATGACGAACCTGACTCCGTCCCGAATTCGAACGGTCCAGATTTATCCATCTTGTAATCCATCGGTACTGGGTTCGAAATCGCCCATCTCGTTTTCATCTTCGCCGATTTCAATCTACGGCGGATTATAATTATGGCCACCGCGAATATTAGGATTACCAAAGCTCCTAACGAAGATGACAAACCGATCACCAGAGGAGTGTGTTTATGAAAACGGTGAGTTTTGACGGGTCGATGACGTGGCGGCGGAGGATTCCGGTGAGGGAGACTATGGAGAAGGTGGTGGTTCGGGATTTTGGAGTCGTTGAATACGAAACTGCCGCCGTGTGAGAAAGCCGATTTGCCGAATTTACGGTATTTGTCAAACCCGACCGAACCGGAAAACCGATTTGCAGATAAATTCAAGAACCGGAGATGGTTGAGATTCGGAAAATCAACCGGAAACGAACCGTTCATTGAATTCTCCGATAAATCCAAGTAATTCAACGATTTTAAACCGGAGATTGGTTTAACACTGCCGTTGATTTTACATCGTGAGATATCGAGATGGTTTAAACCGGAGAGAGAAGCTAAACCAAGTGGCAAAACACCGAGATTGTTACCAGAGAGATCGAGAGCTGTGAGGTTAATAAACCCGGTTAAGTTAACAGCGTTTGTAAACCGATTGAACGAGAGATTCAACTTCTGAACAGAAGAAACAGAACCATTAACCGGAATCACTCGTATAGAGCCACCAAACCGATTCCGGGAGAGATTAACAGAGACGAGACCCGGTTTAGACCAGAGCCAAGTGGGAATAGAACCATGGAGAGAGTTGTTGGAGAGATCAAGAACACGTAAGCGCGTGAGATTACGCAAAGGGTTCCAAGAAACGGTGCCGTTTAGGTTTCTTGACGGAAGCACGATTTGAGTGACGGCGGCGGAGCAGTTAGAGGAGGAGGAGAACCAAGAAGAGTTGAAGCCGGAGACGTAACGGAAAACTCTGCTTAACTGACGGAAGTCTGTGTTATTATGACAAGAAGCTGAGTGTGAGAAAGAGACCAGTGATAAGAGAAGAAACAACCTTAGAAACATGTTTGTTTTAGTTTGTTGTTGAAGGTTGTTCTTCCATGGAAGATAAAGAAATGGTGAAGAGAGATAGAGAGAGAGAGAGAGGGTTTAGTAGTTGCAGTTGTATATGAGAGCCGAGAGGAGCTGGTGAGGTTTATCAGAAAAAAATAAAGTTAGAGAGAGAGGGAGAGAGGGAGATACATACAAAATACATATACAATTTGATATCTATTGTTAACGATGACGTAAATTATGATGTAATAAATAAAAGTCAAAATGTTTATAAACTACTAGCAAATAAATATTACTATAAGTTTTCAGAAGGTATAAAAATGTTGTAGTTTCTAGTTTATCAGAACATGTGGTTACATGAATATAAGATTTTTGTTCTGTGTCGACGTTAAAAAGGTCTTTATTTTGTTTTGGATTAGAAGATTATGTAATCATGTGTTTAATATTCATCATTGTCTTTTATAAGGTACTTTTTTTTCTCTTTTGCTTTTGTAAAAAGCGAAAGTTAAATTAAAGTTTATATATAGAAACTATTTGCATCATTGAGTCATTGAATAACTTTGTGGTAAATAGGAACTATTTGCATCATTCAAGAAGTGTCTATATATACAAATTATATCAGACTAGACTTTGTAAATCAACTTGTTTTAGTGACCCAGATAAATTGATAATTGTGTTTAGAGGCTTTTTTTTTTTCCTTTCACTTTTTTCAAAAGAAAGAGAGGCAAAGAAAGAAGAAGAAAAAAAGTACCTCGTAAAGATAATGATGATAAGTACATGATTGGTATCCGATAAATCTAAAGAGAAATCATGCAATTCATGACAAATATGTATATACTTCAAACAAAAAATGATAGGCAATAAATTGGATTTAGTTAGTGTAATTTAATTTGACCATTAATTTGATAATTAAAATTTGGTGCACAATAACATTACTTGTGTCTTTGTTTTAAACTGGATGTTCACCTTGATTTTTCCAGTTTAATTTTGACATTTATATACAAGAAACGTGTTTCATACTATAGTCACGTCAACCATAAAATACAAGTTAAGTTTTATTATTCGATTCTATCGATCGTCACTAATTTTTGGGATAAAAAAACAATTATTCAGAAAATGCAACATTTAGTTTACTATATTAACGAAACAATACTTGCATTGTAGTAGCAACTAAATCCATAATAGGAATCTTGTATAAGGTTGCATGTGATATAAAAGTGCAACAACTTGCGTATTTCTAATTTGAAGTATGTTTAGTATATCGTTGTTGTGTTATGGGTTTGAAAACTCAAGTGAAGTAAGCAAAGGGGTATGGTTGGTGCGATGACTTTTGTGTGGTGGTTTGATGCAGATGTTGATATATAGAAACGTGGACCCTATATATATATAGGTGTGTAATTTCATGTAGGAGTATTCAATCATATTTAAAAGTATTAATAAGGATTATAAATTTAGAATGGTTGCAAACGTTTATAGATTAAATCATTTTAGTTTTAGCTAACATTTTGTAAATTACTATTCGTTATGGTGCAAATTACATATGATTTCTTTTAATATGCGAAGAAATTACATATAAAGTAATCTAATTTTGATGTTTTAATCCGTTTTTGTCTGCGATAGTCATTCAAAACCTAAATCGAAAACGTGTGTTTAAGAATTTACTATTTCTTCTGTTTGCATTGTAATAAATGTTTCAATTTATTACTATTGGTTATTTGTTGATGAGTTTGGTTGAAGAAAGTAAATAATGGGTGTAGTTGACAACAGAGATAAAATGAAAAAAAACAACTGTGTACTTTTTTGAATAACTCTAGTGTTTGTTCATCCAACATTTCGGTTATTGAATGATCAAAGTTTTACATTTAACTTATTTTAAATAAATTAACATCTTAAAGTTTGATTATATTGATACTTGTGTAATAATACGACATCGCTGTCCAAAACATTCCCGTGAGAAACCACACAAAATCAAAGTTGTGTTGAATTACATGAATTTAATATTATAGTTAGTGTTGTTGTTACTACTTTCAAAAATTTCAAACATTCGCAAGTTTTATGACTTTAAGAAATGTGCACCGGAGAAAAAGACTATAGTTTAATGTTGTAATTGACATAAATTAGTGTATAAAAAAAATACGGTACATGTACCAAGGTGTACCAAGGAGATCGGTTGGATCGGATTATATGGAAGCATATATATTTTATGTATATAATAGTTTAAACTTAATTAATCTAATAGTGTAAAGATAAGCAACTTTTTTAAATAATCGTTCACAAGACCACACAAAATATATATATACATATATATATATATATATTAGTGCAGAAAAACATCCTGATTATTTTCTTAAACTGATAATGATTGATATCGTAAACTGATATGCTGATCAGAATGGTTTTGACAAATTAGTCGGGAATCGGGGCAGGTTGGTCCACGGTATATCTGCAAAAAAAATCAAATACATAGAAGCGGTGATATAAGGAAACTATTCTGCCTTTACTAGGTCCGCCACTGGCTGAAATATCGTCAAAACTGCTCCAACCGAATGTTTTTTGAGAACATCAAATGCTTCATCTATCGAGTGAAGTCTTTTGTAGTCTTTGATATAGGCACAGTTAGATAGATCACGATGTGGATTTGGCTAATTCACAAAGCATCCTATGAATAGTCAATCAATCTCTCTTTAAATACCGTTATCCATAACATATGTCATGCCCAGAACCGTGCAAGCATTATAAAAAAAGAAGCTGCCGCTTCTGGCATCCATTTTTGGAAAAAAAATAAAAGCATATATTTATTAGTAGTGTTATATAGTTTATTCCCAATAAAGATGATATAAATAATTAAATATGAGAAGATGTGTTTATAAATTGTATGTTACAACGTTAAATACTCATACATAAAGAAAATTTGGAAGCAAAATATTGGTTCATCTAGAATTTAGTTTAAAACATGGACTTATAATATGTTTAATTATTGATTAAAAAGACACATATGATTAATTAAAAAATTAGAATAATATTTCCCTCTTCTATTAAAAGAGAAAATAAACAGTTAGGATACATATTTGCTAAATTGCTAACAATACAGTGACTAACTTTTTATTTAAAGTTTTTTTGATCAATTTTTTTTTGTCAAAGTGTCAAGTTAAAATTAATTATATTTTATTTGCTATATTTATTTACAGTACTCTGTTTTGGTTAAATATTTTTTAGAGAATTTTATTTAGAATTGCAAGTAATCATTGTATTTTGTAACTTTATTATCTTAAAGGCGTCGTTAACAATTTTGTAGGGAGAAAAAAAATATGTAACTAATACTTTGTTTTAGTTCTTTTTTATACGAAAAAATGTTAACTTGTGTAAAAAATTTTGTATTGTTTAAACCAAAAGTTTTTTTTTATCGTTTCTGATACTCATTAACCTTCGCACGACTCTGGTCATGCCAGCTTCGCGCGCTAGACCAGAACAACAATGGTATACATTTTGTTTCTTGTGGACCGTTCATCTCTTAAGTAGTCTCGTATAATCAATTAGATCCTGAGGTGAATAGAGATCAGTTTCACGTCCATCAAGAAGCCTTATAACACGTATAAGTTCACTCACAACGATTGCCCAGCACACATCTTCCAAATCATACAAAACAAAAAACAAAAGGAGTTAAAAATTTACATATTTCAAAGAATTTTCCCTAATTAAAACTATTTCAATATCATATCATATCATATCTTATCTAAACAGTAGTTGTATCAAGTTTTGTTTTAGAAATTCTCTCCTACCTACCTTCCTATATATTAATTACTAATATATGTCTCTGTATATCATATAATCATCTTCCTCTACAAGATATTCATTTCTTGAAGATTTTCATCCAAATTTCTCTAGCAACTAGGATGAATGAATTGATTTTAACAAGTACAATATTTGGACATAAAGTATATCAAATTTCTCTAGCAACTAGGTTGAATGAATTGATTTTATTAATAAACTTATATTAGTGTAATCCTAATACTAATATTTATTTGATATATATTGTTAACGATGATGTGAATTATGATGTAATAAATAAAAGTCAAAATGAATATAAACTAGCAAATAAATATTACTAAATATTACTACAAGTTTTTCAGAAGGTATAAAAATGTTGTAGTTTGTAGTTTTAATAGAACATGTGGTTACATGAATATAAGATTTTTTGTTTTGTGTCCACCTTAAAAAAGTGTTTATTTTGTTTTGGATTATATGGAAGCATATATATTTTCTTATCAAGACATTTAATGATTTTTTATGTATATAATAGTTTAAACTTAATTAATCTAATACTGTAAAGCTAAGCAACTTTTTAAATAATCGTTCACAATACCACACACACAAAAAAAACCTTATAATTTTTTTTTTTAAGGGGAAATTTCAAAAATACCCCTTTTCCAATATCACTTTTTAAAAATACCCTTATTCATAGATTTATCAAAAAGCCATTATAAAATTTGAAATTTATCAAAAACATATGTGTAAACTTATATTTATAGACACAAATTATCTTTATATGTGTGTAAATTTTTATATATATTTTATAAATACCGTATTAATACATTTTAAAAACCATTTAAAAACCTTATAAAAACTGTGTAAACCTTTTAAAAACCTTATAAAAACATTATAAATGCCGTTTAGGACCTTTTAAAACCTTATAAATATTTGGATTTAGTCTTCTAGTAGTAATGATGACCTCGATGTACCTTATTAACCATATAAAAGTTTATAATTTTTCATATTTGAAAATGGGTATTTTTGAAAATAGATAGAAAAGAGGGGTATTTTTAAAAAAGGGTAAAACAAAAGGGGTATTTCTCAAAAATTCTCTTTTTTTAATTGGAGGGATTAAGTCCTTAAGTTAAATTACTTAAACATTTAAGAGTTTTTGTCAGACTATTATGTTTTTAAACGCATGCGGTTGAGCAGTCTTAGATAAAACATATACTAAACCAAATCCCATATTCCTGTTTTTATATTTCACTTTGTTATGAGATTGGTGTTGAAAAAACAAATTGATCTTTTTGGCTTTAGATATTCTCAAACAAAAAGTCTAGATTACCTCTAAGACATTTATGTATTCATCACATAAAATTTCATGATGAGTAAAACATTGAAGTCAA